TGGGCTTAGGGTCCCCAGACCCGTCCTAGTCTAAAAATACCAGCCAAGGAGAGGAGGGCTGCCCTGGTTGCTTTGCTGGAGGAATCCCAAGAGAGCCTCTAAAAACAGTCCAGGTCTCACATACACACAGACCAATTTAGCTCGGCCTCTGTAACTGCAGAAGAAGATGATGATGACGTGGATAGTTTCTATTGCTGCTCATCAACGACAGGAATCGTTTCCTTTTCATTCGTGCTACCCAAATAAAAAAAAAAAAAAAAGGAACTCTAGATGATGCAATTGATTTGTTTTTAATTTACCGTTTGAATTTGAATTAGATTACGGCAGCTAAATAATTTAATTAGAGTTGGTTCATAGTCGGGTTACACAATGCCAGAAGGGATGTTTATTTACAAAGATCCACTAAATCCTCAGTGACATTTGACTCACACACAGTGAGGATGCGACAATGCACCATAGAAGAAGATTATAACTTCTTCTCTGGAAGAGCATGCAGATTACGTTTTTCCCACTCATTAATCCATTAAGAGCAACTTTAAAGACCCAAACTTCTGCTTTTTAGCACTACTTCCTTCCATGCAAGACAGTTTGGCAAGATGGTATTTAAAATATGTTTAAAAAGCATAAAACTTTTTATGTCATACCAATGCAATTTAGGCCTTCATCCATTTAAATTTACAGTGAAAGGTTGATCTGATGAGGAAAATAAAACCCTGTGACCGATCAGTTATCAGAATAAGTTGAATTACAGCTGGATTTCTTAAACAGGGTGAAATATGACGGTCCTTTATGAGATTACGCTCTATGTCTCCGTCAGCTTGCTAATTCTCAATATAAGGTTCAGCTGAGGCACAAACCTTCGTTTATGGTATTAGGATTTAACTCTTTGCTGCCTTCTGAAACCCAAACAGACCCCGATGGCGTTTAAAATCAAAAGCCACAGAAACATTTATGATTACTTTAAAGTTTTGGGAAAAGGAAAGCTTCATAGCTTCAAGAGGAGCAGCTAAATTCAGTTATAAGACAACAAAATATTTAAAAAACAAAACACTTTTTCAACATTAGTCATGAAAAACCCACAGAAAGTTATTAATTATTTAGATTACCAAGGAAGTCTAGTTGCTATCCAGATGGAACCAGTGAGACTAATTTAGCATTGGAAAAGTTTCATCTCTTTTTAATTTAGCAACATTTTGGGTAACCAGATAATCAAACTGCAACAGACAAAACAAGATGTTTTACAATTAGTGCTGAATCAATTAATTGTGATTCATCGATTATTGAAATAATTGTCAACTAATTTAGGAATCAAGTAATCGCTAACAGGAGTATAAAAACTCAAAAAAGAGCCTATCTGAAGAAACAATAACATATTCAGAACCTGTAATTGTGTAAATAATGCCATTTTAAATATCCAAAATAAAAACAAAACTGAAATTAAAACAACACACAACCAAAAATATAAATTAAATGAATTATGAAGTCTCTAAACAAAATTTTAAAAAGTCTTAATTGCCACCTTCATTTTGATTTGTCATCTGATTAATTTATTAATTTCTTATTCAATCAATCAAATTTTATTTGTATAACACATTTCAACAACAAGGCAGTTCAAAGTGTTTCATACACACATATAACCAAGTTCATTTAAAAAAATAACAACCTTACTGTGAAAAAGTTAGACTGGAAACTCATTGTGTCAGGTCCCATTACCTAATTAACTCCAAAGCAAACGTTCCCCGAGCCTCTAAATGATTTTTCAGTCTCAATTATAGGAAAGGCTGTTGACTAGACAAAAGTTCAGAAGAAAACATTGAGTGGAAGAAAAAAAGTTTGGTAGGAAAAGATGCAAGAAAATGCAGCAACCACCCATTCACAAACTTATGGGAGTTTTACAAGCAGTAAACTGAAGATGGAGTCAAAATGCAGAGCTAGACATTCAATTCAAATTCAAAAATACTTTATTTATTTCAAAGGGAAATTGATGTTCTCCAAAGAGTTACAAATGGGCTACAAATGTCGGTGGGTCCTGCTCGTGTTTAATAATCAATCGGTTCAGATCTTAGTGCTTTCACACCTGGTAGTCAGAAAATTGCAACATATTTTACATTTTCATTTGATGTGGTTCTCTTTCACACTGCAGTGTGTTAAATAAACCAAATACTTTGAAAAACCTGCTCACCTCCTCACCAGAGGTGGCGCTGCACCAAGAAAACAACACAAAAACCTCTGAAGAAGACTTCCTTCTTCACAAAATGTAAACAAAAATTGAGTAGCGCTAGGTTTTAACTAGACTACCACGTTTGTTTTGGTTGTTTTTACCCAGAATGCTCTGGATTGTAGTCCAATACGCATTTGAACTGCAACAGAGTTCATTTCAACACTTCTGCAAGCATTTTGTTTGTCTGTCTACCAAAAATAAAACCACAGAGTCCAATTTGTACAAAGCACAAGCATATCTTTACAGAATATTTGACCAATTGAGTTTTTCAGTCAAACTTCAGCATGTTTGACTATATTAGGTTTAAAGCTAAACCCAACTATGAGTGGCTGGAAAGCCAAAAAAGCCACAATTGGACAAATTATATTTTCACAAATAGGGCAACACTATCAGCTGTGGTCGACATAACATCTCCTCAGCTTCACATATCGCCGACTTATTTACAAACACCTGTACTTCTTGACGAAGACGCTAAAGTTTTTGCAGCAAGATGTGGCATGTCTTCTCTGCATTTGTGCAGTATGTAATCTCTCCTGCCATAATTTGTTGTCATGGGGACATCAGAAACAGCAACTTAAATAAGCTAAACAATCTGATAAAGAAATTGGTTCTGAAACTAAAGAAGTATTCTTCAAAAAAAATTATAATCATGGAAATTACTGAAACTGTTTACAACAACAAATTATCTTCACTCAGAGGCTTCTTCAGATTTACTGAAGTACAGACTGCTACAGGAATTCCTTCCTGCCCACAACAACTCTTTGAAGAATCTTGACTAACATGATTTACAATAATATTTAATTTCCCTCTGGGATTTAATAAACCATAGTTTAAATGAATTTTAAGCAGTCGCTTATTCAAGATGCGACATAAAGTATTAAAAAAACAGAATAAGAGTTTCACAAATCCCCAAAGAATATTTTTATGAATACTTGTTTCGACTAAAACAACCCAGTTAAGGTTTGATCAGTGTAAATATTTTATATCGTGAGATGAAATCTATTAAAATATATTCCTAAACAAGTGAAATAGCCCTTTACTCTAGTGCTAACTTCACCGTATGGAGCTTTGGAACAAGATGTCGCTGCTCTACACGTAAATATTTCAGGTAATAAACATACATGTAATGAAAGATTATATTTTAAATAAACAATTTATGTGATTAAAGTTAACAACTATATAATCGGACATTTTGCACTAAACATTTAATGTAAATAATCAAACCAGATGAAAGACCCGGTCTTTAAACAGGTTCTGTAATTAAACATTTCAGAGTAAACAATAAATGTGACAAGTAAATGTTATGAAATAGATCACACTAAGTAAATATTTGTTGTATTTAGCATATTTCAGGTAAAAAGTGAACATGTAATGAAATAGATCCTGTCCTAGAATTTTACGTAATTGAACATTACAGGTAACACATGTGATGATCATCTCAGGTAATACATTTTAAAAAATATTTTTAAAATATAAAATTAGTTAAAAAATTAAAAAGGTATCAAAATGTAATAAAGATGAGTGTGCTTCATCTATGCAGTTTAGTAGAATAATTTCACACCGATTTTGAGTTAATGGGGCCACGATTTGGAAGCTATTGAAGAAAACATTTAACATGAAAATTATTTAAAATATTGGATGTGACTTGAAATTTTAATAGGGAATGCTGTGTCTGATGTGACAGCATGAATCAGTTGGTCACAAGGCAAGGCGTTTATTTACAGGAGTGTTTGGTTCGGAAATGGACGGCCACCGAGTGAACCTCCGAGTGCTGAGGAGGGAGCTGGCCGGAATTAGCGTTCACAAATCGGATCAACCTTGAGCTAAACGCCCCTCACTCCGCTAAGTTCGGATATCCAATATCCACTTTAAAACAACTTCACTGAGCTGTAACACAATAAAAACGCCCTAGACAAATAAAGTTTGTTTTGATTTGTGGCCTTTAAAGATGGCGCCAAGCTATTGCGCGAGACGTAAACGTCATACGCAGTGACGCTGGTTCCAAAGCTTTATTGTAACGCTAGCAGGCTAAGCTAACTACTGCTAGCTGACACATCACTGAACCTTATCACAGTCAGGAAAGCAATCACTGGCAACCCAATGGGTGGATGGTTTTATAACCCATTGAGTGGGTTCTGGTAACAATATCTCCGTTAAACACATTCACAATAAGCTGTTATAAGCTAAAGGTTTAGGAGAAACGATCTAATATTAGCCCAGCGCCACTAAAACGGTATAATGTTGCAGTCAGCTAAGTTTGTCATTCAACTGTCAGCCACTTTATCAGCTGAACATGGATATATTTATACGTTTAGTGTCTTACTCTAAACGGCATGTGTTGCTAATAAAGTTTATGTTGATCCTCCTCACCTCCTGTTGGATAATTGTAAGGCTAACATTGGGTGATACCTGCATAGTAACAGAACTAAATGTACTCCAGCAAACGTACAACGCAATGTCTCCATTTCAATTCAGTTTTTTTTTACTCTGACAACTGATACACAATAGTTCCTTCAAAGCATTACTAGTTTGTTGATGGCTTATTTCCAGCGACGTGGTGATGAGTGGAGGCCCGTTTAAGTGCACGCTACGGCGGTTAGCCGCGTCACTAGAGTCCGAGGCTGTGAAGGCCCGTCGTTTCTTCCTTAGCTAACTTAAAATGGCGGTGAATGCTTGCTAGCCTGCTAAGCAGCGTAAAACAAACCATTCCAGGGTGTAATAAAAAAAAAACACGCACACACAAGACACTTTACATGTCAAGACATCTTAAATATCCTACCTTTAAATCTGAGGTCGGAGGGAGGGTCGAGAATCAGGATCTGGTCCAACTTGGACATTTTAGCTGAGGGGGGATGCACTTAGTTGTCGGTATCGTGGAGTGACAAGTGGAAATCCTGGAAGCCCTGCCACGGAGTGAGTCAAACGCTGGCGGAGTTTTAGCGGCGGAGCAGCAAGCGGGTAGAAATACTTGAAGACGCTGGAAGCTCAGCCCTGCGCGGCGTCCTCGTGGCTCGGTCACTGATGAGATTACGCTACATTAAACTCGTTATACACTAAAATACTTGGAACATCTGATAAAAACTGCTCAAATATCCCGATGTGACTCTCATAAGATTAAATGCGCCTCACTTGGTCTGTGGTTTACCTTGCTTGTGAGGAAAGGAAAGAGTTGGCATAGATTTTGGAAAAATAAGTTGCAAATATATATGTATATATATTCTATTTCTCTCTCTATATATATATATATATGTGTAACATGATACGTTATTTTTATATAGTTTATCTTTTTCATTTTTGTTTTAAGTCGTGATCTCTGACAATAAAATCTGATTTTATTGGAACATTTTACAATTGCTACTCATTAAATAAATGCTCAAAATATATTAAATTACACTACTTTACAAGAAAACAGTCGTATTGAATAACTACAAATATAAAAACTTAATTTGTTTTAGTAACTCCATTTTATCAAACACATTATGTCTATTGATTACAAACAAACTTCGGTTTTTGAGCATTTATGTCTATTAACTATATTGATTTTATAATTACAACTAATAAAAACATAAAACATGAAATTAAATTGATTTAATTAACCAGTTTTCTTGACCTAGCAAAAATGAAGAACATGATGGAAAAACCTGACTATCCTGTTCATGAGGCTATTTTACAAGTAAAAAGTGATATTAAATAAATAAAATGATGAAAAATGAATTTGTTTCAGTAACTCGATTCCACAGAACAAATTACACAGATGACATAAAGACTATCTCTCTCTATTCACTATTTCTAATCACAGCTAATAATGACATACAAACATTAAATTGATTTAGTAAGTCAAATGTTTTGATTTATTAAATAAAAAAAATAGGATAAAATTATGACTTTTAAATACACCTTGCTGCACCACAATCTGCTTTTAATTTCTGCAATAAAACTTGGCTATATACAGCACATATTTTCTAATAAGTTCTGACCGGTATCCTGTTTTTATTTCTGAGAAAAGACAAAAATATTTTCACATTAGTTTATCAATCGATTCCAAATAATAAGCAAAATGTTTGCATTTCAATCAAAAATGTGCAGAACGCATGTCTACAAAAAATAGTTCAGATTAAATAGTTCATGCTTAGTTTATTTTTGGCTGATTAAAAAAGAAATCACATTTTTGCCAATTTTAGGTTTTCAAAATTAATTTTTTTTGAGTAATTCTGAGTTTTGAACTGCCTTGTTGACACATATTCAGTCGTTTATGGTACATGATTGAGGTCAAATCTTCTAAGTGACGGCATTACATGTCAACTTATAGATGAAGACAAAAAGAGCATTGTTATCAACATATATAGGTGATGATATCAGTTAAATTTTTCCTATTGTGGTGCATCGTGAATAAAAATGGGACAGCATCACATACCAGGTCCAGATGTCCTCACTTCACTCATCCTGCCATTAGGGAAATGGGACTTCTGCCATTACACATTATAGCCAAACTCAATTAAATGCTGATAAATGTGTCTCATGAGCTGCAGGGAGATGAAGCTACATTAAATAAAGGTTCCTGAACCAATCAGTCTCAGTCTGTCATGACAGATCTCTATCATATTTAACAGAATCAGATTTATATACATTTATCAATCAATTAGGATTTAATTTATGATAAGGCAACCTTGTTTTATTTAAAGTGAGTGACACTTCTAGCAGGCGCACTTTCAGTCGATGGTGCAGCTTTCTTCCATCAAAAAAATGTCCATGTTTATTTCCCCTAGAAAATGTCTGAGAACAAAATTAGTCCTTTTCCATTAAATTTTACTCTTTACACTCAGAAATTACCTTATTTTTTTTAGAAAATTTCTGAGACTAATTAAAAAAAAAAAAAAAGTGTTTTTTTTTAATAGCAAACTTTCAACGTCAAACTCAAAAATGTCAAAAAAAATTTCTAGAACTTCCAGTCTTCTTAGCAGAAATTTCTCTATCTGTAATGGTCTTAATACACAGTTGTACGTTAGCAATCTGGTAAAATTTCCACGCCTCCAGCAAGCAACCGTTTCTTATCCAGACCTTCTGCATAGAACATTAGTAGGACAAATGTTTCTCAGGCAAGAAACATTTAAGTGTGACACAGAAAAAGCAACAGCAAAGAAATCTAAGTAGGCAAAATATTAATTTACTTGCAGGTTCATGTGAGCAGTCTGTAGAGATCCTACCCGCAGTCCAGTTGGGAGAAATCGGATTGCGATCAAGGCATGTAATGAAACAGGTACGGTCGGTGAAGTTGTAGTAAATGGAAAAACAGCAGAACATTTAATTGCCTATGTACAGGCCGTCCAGCTCAGTCAATTTTGTCCAACACCACAGAAGCAATTTGTTACATAATCTGCCACATAATTCTAATTTACTTTACCGATGCACGATCCTAAACAAATGTCAGGGGATAGACATTCAAATTACCTCCTTAAGGCTTGAAGTTCAAACTCGAGTTACATCAATATTACAGACGTCTTAACTAAATTGCAAATGCAAAAACACTATTAAAACAAAGAAAGTGTATGAATAATACTTTATTGCAATGTTTTAATACACAAAATTAGACCTGTTGTACTGGGAACACAGGGATGCATGACTTTTACATATTGGATGAGATTAACTATAGAATGGGCACTTTCAAAGTGCACAGTTAGACTGTACCAACAATCATTGTCTTAGTGGTAGTCACTTATCTAGATTAAAAAAAGGCACTTTTATGACCTTTTGTCTAATACTGAAGGTCATAATCAAACTAAACATTGTGGAAAAAAACTGTTTTAACATTCAAAACTCAGCAATATTTCATTTTAAAGTCACAACTTGCAGTGCAGGGAAAGGCTGTAGTCACAACTCTGACGTTTACTCACACTTTAAATGATATTCACTGCGTAACTCTGCTTTTATCAGATTCAGATCAACACATGTTGATCTGAATCCGATATACAAAAAAAGGTATTAATATTACATCAAATGGTAGTAAAAACAGTCCAATTTATTCCTTGACATTGTGGTGAACAGTAATAGTGATTGTTTTAGGTGTTTTATCAAATGCTGTGATTTTTAAAAAGTGGTGAAAACCAAAACAGTAAAAAAAAAAAAAAAAAACTTGTTTTCCCACAAGTCAAAAAACTCTTAAAAATCATTTAAACAACAACTAGATGTGTTCTAGTAAATGACCTGCAGTTTTTAAAAGTATAATTAACACAAATGGTAAAAACAAAGCTGTCAGCTATTTACAGTCATTCTCTGTAGTGAACACTTAAATGTTTCAACATGTACCAAACATCTTCGCCAAACTCATGATGAAGTTCATTCTGCAGCATCGTAGTTAAACCTTTATAGAGGAATGTAAAGGTGTGTGAGCGACTCGAAACGCTCAGTGGAAGTTTGTACAAAACAAATCAAAACAAAATCAATGAATACATGAAAATGAATACAGCTGGTCTAAGAGACACATTAAAATGCATGTAAACAGCAAATCAGCATAATCTGGGATTATAATAGATGTAATTTTGTCAGACCACCACTAGAGGGAGACAGACCAAAAGACTTCTGATGATCAGAGAAAATCAAATTTAGTTAAATAAGTTGGTGTTTTGACCTAATTAGCGCTGTTTTTAACTTTTTGGTGACCTTGGTCTATGTTCTGCGTCGTCCCCCAGCAGGCAGGACGTCATGTGCGTTTGGATTTTGTTTAGGGCCTGCTGTTTGGCAGCTAAATGATCTCCTCTCACTAGCAGCACCTCCTGGTGGTGGGATTGGGCGGCCGGGTGAGTTTAAAGGAATCGTTGCTCTCCACTTCAGCGTTTTGCAGGGGTGGGATCTGTTTACCTAGCGAGGCACAAACAACAGTTACTGACACATGAAGGGGTTTCATCAAGACGCTTTCACTGCAGATCCAGAGGTTTCTGGTACAACTTCAGCTCCTTCCACGGTGCTGGGAGACGGTCAGAGATCTGGTGATGGGAAGACTCCAGCAGCACTTGAATTACAGAGGAACCAACTGTATCAACAGACTATGTTAAACATTTAACTGTTACAGCTCGGACATTAAAAATAAGAAAATGTCAATTTCCACACAATATTAAAAAAATGTTTAGTGACATTTTGGGTTATAATTTGAGAGCAGGAGGAAATTTAAAAACAAAAAGAGATTTTGTATATCAGTGTGTGGAAATCAGAAGATCTTTATCTTCAATCTGCTCTCTTTTTGAACAAATTGTGTAAAATGAACATGTCAACTGCCATGACAAGTAATTGAATTATTTTTTATCGTTTTTACTTTTTATAAATAAAAGTAACTAAATAAAATCCAGAGCAGTGTCTGGGAATAACAATATATAAAACTGTTTAAAATGTGAAAGTTTCTTGTCAACAGATGGAGGAAAACGTCATAAAAACCTACTGATTTTCTGAAAGAGCTCCTCGACGTTCACCGCATTTCTGGCGCTGGTCTCAATAAAAATAGCTGCAATTGATTCAGCAAACTCCTTTGCTTCCTTCATAGGAACTTCCCTGTGAAACAGAAGAACAGCACAGAAGTGGAAAAAGATGGAAAAAGAGCAGTTGTTGCAAGCAATTCTCCTTTCTTCTATTTATAACTGGACGAATGTTGAAAAAACTGCGTGGAGTAAGAAAAGTTACAGCAATTAGGACGCTTGTATCTTTTTCCAGTGGTAAAAATGTGTGAAATGAAAAGTTAATCTCCCAAACCTCTAAGACTCTGATGTTTGTGTTCTTGGGTTCATTACTTTTGCATTACAGAAAGAGTTTAATTATTGTTAAAATACAGCCACAGAAAACAGTGCTGCAAAAAACTCATATTTGCAAACAATATCTTGATAATCCTCAGGATATTTGGTAAAGTATTTTAAGGACTGATGAGACAAAAGAGGACCATTCTGGATCGAGTGTGTCCTCCTATATTTGATTATTACATTGATGGAGCCATTAATCCTCCTTTATTAAAACCAAAATGGAGAATATTGGGGCATTAAACTTGAGTGCATCTGGGTTATGCAACCAAGCAACTCCAGACCTTATGGATAAAAAACTAAACACAAACTGAAGACTTGCAGTCATCTAGACAAAGTTTGGAGATAAACCTAACTGAGACACATTAAGCAGGCCATTCACACTTGAAAAATCTTAATGTGTTTGAATAACAGGGGAACAAATTCCTCAACTGCAAAGTAAAACACTCAGCTGTTGCCTCTAAAAATGGAGTACTTACTTACAGGTCCAGGTTGGCTTATTTTTTCCTTTAATAAATAAAAACGGTTTGTTGTGCTTTTTGCTCAGGTTTTCTGAGATGCTAAAATTCTGGCGTAGATTCAAAAGAAAAGTGAAAACATCCTATGTCATGGCACGAGAGACAAAATGATCTCACCTGATGTCTCCTAAATCATTCTTGTTTCCTGCTATGGCTACAATGATGTCCTCCGGGCCGTGCTCCTTCAGCTCCTTCACCCACTTCTTCAGTGTCTGGAAAGAGTCCTGGAAAGCAGGAACACGCTGTGGTCAGCTCTGGAACGCGCCCAGAGCTGTCACACAGTCAGAGTTTTGCTGTTTTCACACTGGTTTCCAAGGGCCAACGAGGAAAGTATGATTTTGTAGGTAATGGAGGAACAGCCTCCCAGAATGATGGAAAAGTAATGCAGTTTTATAAGCAGATCTTATTGTCAGAACCAGTTTGTTCCATTTACATCCATTCAAAACAACAGATATTTGCTTTTTATTTTTATATAATGAGGGTTGGAGATCAGTTTGTTGCACTCACCAGTTTAGTAATGTCGTAAACAATGACAGCAGCAGCTGATCCCCTGTAGTACATAGGAGCTAATGAATGAAACTGGAAAAGAACACATTTTTAGTAGTTAGAATCAGCAAACAAATACTGATCTTACATATTTAAAATTAACTAAAACCTAGGCCAATTTAAAAAAAGGTTGAAATGAAGTTAAAGAAAAACCAGTTTAAAATTTAAATGGTCAAATAAAACATTCCTCTTCACAGCGACACTCCCCAGTTCCTCCTCGGGGATCATGAAGGCGTTTCCAAGCCAGGAGGGAAGAGCTGCCCCGTCACTGACATCTGGGTCTGCTCCAAACCCGGAGAACCTCCAGTAGGATTCCTGATGAGTGAAGCTTTAAATCTAACGAATGTGCACAGTGTGGTGGAAGTTTTGCCTTTTGAAAAAGATGATTTTGTGGCTTTTTCCCCACCAAGGTGCAGGTAGAAGAGGAGAGCATTGTGTTTGAAGAATGTTTTAATTTGAATGAGTGTTTAATGTTCTGTTTACATGTAATGAAATCTGCAACATCAGTAAAACTGCCCTCGCTGTCGTCAGCATAAATTCGCATCATTCTTTCCGTTTGGTAAAATAAGCATGACAAAAAGGGATCTCTTCAGTCTCCTTCTCTGCAGCTAAAAAACCCCCAAAACAATTCAACAATTTGTTATTTCATGCTCCTTTTATTCAGCAACATATCTGGTGACAATTATACAAAACAAAAGACCTTTAATAGTCTCTTGTTCTCTGTTTTAGATCACAGATAGTCCAGTGTGATGCAACAACCCCAGTGAGATGACGTCTCCAGATATTGTGTTCACACACATCCAGGAAATATATGAACTAGTTTTTCCATGCAGTAAGCAAGTTTGGCAAGTCCTAGGAAACTCCACCCACTCACACATGCACTACCACCCCCCTTCAATCAAATAAATCACAGCGGTGTCACTCAGTCGGTTGGTGTTATTATGTAGCGTAAAACCATAAATGTAGCAGATAAAAACAAGTGAGGAGGCCTCTGCTTTAGCAGTGGCCAAAAAAGAGGTTTGTGGTTGGTGTTTATCATTGTAGGTTCTGATCAGCTCGACTGGCAGCACCTGGCCAGTCCTCCCAGGAGCTTAAATCTGACTGAAGCTTGCAATAAACTGCATTCTGAGCGAACTAAACACACACATGTAATGACGTTACATGTTTAATGTCATGAACATGCTACTTCAGTACAGACTCACAAACAAGAGTCGTTTAATCTTCTCTCCTTTTTATTTTCAGTTAAAAATTAATAAATAAATAAAAAAAACTTAATGTTGCCTTTTTGTCAAAAGACAAAATGTCTGCTAACCTTTGAACACAATCGATCACCCTAAAAATAACAATGTGATGATTTGGCTCTCAGGTCCAGAGATCTAATGGAAAACAACTTCATAAGCATGATTCATTAGTCCAGAGTCTAAACTAAAAGAATTACTGACGAACTGCTCACCCGTTCTTGTCCAGCTGTGTCCCAAATCAGAAATTTATGTAGTTCGTTCCCACATGGTACAGTCTTGGTCAGGAAAGACGCCCTGTGGATAATAAGGTGCATTTCTCAACAGTGGTTCTCCAGTCATTCTTACATGTTTAAGTCAGCAACAAGAATTTATAATGAGATTTGTTGGTGTATCCAGGTGACGTTAGAGGCAATAAAAAACAAATTTAAATTAATTCCTCTGTTATTTGTAATTCTAAAGAGGAATTTGGTTAAGAAAACCATAACTTATTTAAAACTTTTTACAGTTTTGTTGCATTAAAACATATTTGATTAGAACTTCTTTTTTCTTTAAATCAACAGCGCATTCAATACTCAAAATGTGCAAGCATGTTTTCAGGCATTTTAATATCAGTCTGATATCTACAGGCCTTTTACACATTAGCACAATTTTTCTCTGTAGGTCAATCAGTCTAAAGAGCCATTAGATAAAGGTCAGGGTTCTGTGTGGGTCATTCCAGAACATCTAGTCATTCTTTTGTTGGGAGAGATTTCTGGAAACTCTAATGAAGCCAAACTGTGCCAGAATATAATTCCTACAAATATACTCTGCCACAGTCCAAACCTTCAAGTCTTGTTGCTTAATTTCTGTTTTGATTCGAGTGTCAACTGGTAGAACTCAAACTGATAAGTGAGTTCCACTCCAAATCATGTTCGATCAACTTAATTGAAAGCTGGTTGACTCAAATGCAGTTGCATAAGCTTGTCAATGATGATAAGTGTAAATCTGATGCACCCAAGCTCAGCGCTGGGTGACACAGCAAAGGGGGTGAATAATGTCAAAAGTGTGATTACGTTGTGATGTCCATGCTATTTTGTAGGGATGCCCCAATATAAAAAAATTTGCCAAAATCAATTTCCGATAGTAATGCTGTTAAAATTCTTAATAACTGATATTTACCAATACCACATACTACATTTTAACACTGAAAAACCTATATTGCTTGTAGGGGTTTCAGTAAAACACCCCTACAATCTTCTGTCACCTGACCAAATAAATCCCACATGACCAACACTCTCCAAGCACAAAAGAAAATGAACACAGGTTGTATATACTGGCTCAGTTTTACTTGTCAAACCAAAACCAATGTCTTAAAAAAATTACTAAAATTGAAAAATATCATTGTCAATGCAGATATGAACTTCATTGTGTTGATTCTTTTTAAGGAAAGCTTTTCTCAGATTGGTTTTAGAATACGTTTGTAGTCTAAGGCTACATTCAGACGGCAGTCCAATTCCGATTTCTTGTCAAATCAGATTTTTTTTGTTGTGATCGTTCATGCGTCCAAACATATGCGACCTGTATGTGTTCTCCAGTGTAAACTGCAAATTATCTAAAAGTGTCCCAACATGCACAGTTGAGGGCGCAGTAACCCATCCTCAGTGTTTTGCCAAACACCATAAAGAAGAAGTCCTCAGTGTTAACAGAAGTAAACATGAATGCTAACGGTGGAGCGTAGCTTACAATTTTGAAGTTGTTGTCCAACTGGAGCAGCATATTAACTGCTTAATCCTCACTATACTCCGTCATGGTTGTTGTTTTTCTTCCCGCTTGCTCATATCAGAATAGGGACATTTGTCAAGCATCAATGACGTTCAGGTTGGATGAACCTGAAGTGACCTGGGTCCCATTAAAAAAAAAAAAAAATCCAACTTGTGCTATTCAGACTGTCTTGAAAATGTCATATACAGGTTCCATTAAGGCAAAACAAATCAGAATTGGGGTCACTTCAGGCTCCAGTGTGAACAAATGCCTAACAAATGCAGAACAATTGAAGGGGGGTGAATACTTTGTTGCGGCACTGAAGAAATAAACAGCAGGTGTAGAGATAAAATGATAAACACACTTTTAGTTTTTCCATAATGTGTCCCTCTTCTTATCCAGATGTCTTCCATCAAACCCATATAGTAAATTTACATGAAGCCGCTCTATGACCTTCAGATAATCTCACAGAATTGGGCCAATTTTTCAGACCATGTTTTGTAAAGTACCTCATATGTAAATAGTCAGCCTGCAAAACTGCTCACCTTACAGTAGGATTGTCACATGCCAACATCAATATCAGAAATCGGCCCAATATCAGCCAAAAAACCCCCAAAGTATTAGAATATATAGGCCTGCATCTAAAAACTCCAATAAAAGCCCAAACATTTCTGACCTTAGCCTCGATTTGAGCATCAATTTGCTAAACCTCGCCACAAAACAAGATTGATAGACTTATTTGCAAGAGTGGCAGAGCCTCATGAGATTCATATACTCACCCTATGGTGGGGCTTATGTTGTGATCAAAATGATCTTGAACAAATCTGCAAACTATGCTAGATTTACCCACTCCTGTGTCCTGGAAGCAGAGAGGGTCACATGTCAGTCACAGCAAACAGAAGCACACAATAAAGGTTAACTTTGAACCAAACTGATTGAGCAACTGGATGGTCAGAAGCTCAGCTGATCAGTCCTTTAATACCAATACCGGCCTTAATTTTACAGCAAAAATTTATGTAATTTGTTGTTGTTTACCCAAGTCAGCAAATATAATATGCAGTGCTGGGGAAAAGTGTTTGTGCTTCATAATCTGAAACATTTCAGTTTTCAATTTACAATTTAATTTAATTTAGAATAGGTGGTCCATTTAGATGTGGACTTTGACTCCAAAACTTTTATTTTGTTTTTTAGTTTTGAGCCATTCAGAAGTGGACTTGGTGTTTTTTAAACTAAAGGCCTAAGAAGTACATGTTACTAGGGAATATTGTCTCTGCTGCCCAGATACTGAGCTGGTCATACACCAACAGCCTTCAGTCAGAGGTTTCTTAAGATTCACAGCAAGACTGACTACAACTGGAGATCCTTAATTGCCCACCTTATCGCCACCCAAAATCAGGCTTGTTGCGATATGCAGTAAATCAATTAATCACAGACTAAATATAAGCTCAATAATTTCCATTTGCGTAACTGAGAATTTTTCCCTTTTCTCTGTCTTTGTACCACAATCTGGATGACAAAAGTCTTTAATCTAGTGATTTGGTCTAAACCACCTCTTTTTTGAAGGTCAATTTTGTTTACTTCATAAAGCATTTTATTGGTCATTTCTGTTGTTTTGCTTAGGTACTTTGGATATTTAAAATGTCTTCCAGTGTGAAATATGCTTTAAAATCAAAAGTTTATAGATCTTTGAGAATGTTCTTGCATTCCTCTGGTCTATTACATTAGTTGAAAATGATTTCCAAACAACAATATTATCGTTTATCACAATAAGTTCTGGGACAATTTATCATCCAGCAAAATTTATCAGTTCAGACCTTACTGACAGCAACTCCAAATAGATACTTAGACGATCTGAGTTACAGGTTTTAATTGAAAATTATTCCAACACATCATTGTACCAATAGCTACAAGAAAGATTAAACTATTTTTATTATTTTATCTTTATTAGTTCAAATTGCAGGAGAGCTTCTGAAAAGTTAAAGAGGCTAAATCTTTATTGAAATGAGATGCTGGAGCCAAGAGTGCAATTATAGCCCTCTAATGAAAGGTTTTCGCGAACAAAGTGAACAGTTTTGATGAGCTTGTCAGTAGCCTGCAGCTTTGCACACAGAACTTTCAAACCTTTTTAAAGTCTAAAACTTCCCACTTTTCGCCTTAATTTCAATGGATGAAGTCAATTTTGTTTTTAGATAACTGATCATCTTTGAGAGATTGTTTAAAAATAGGTTCAGGGTTTAGGTTTTTTTTTATTTCAGTTTTCGCAGACGCAGCAGGAAATTAACGGCTTACGTGTAGCCGCTGGTCAGTGGATGACGTCATGGGCCGACAAACTGTCAAAACCGTTAAAAAGCCGTTAAGAGAAAACCCGAGTGAAAACACGGTTATTTGTTTGTTTAAACAGTGTAATAAAAACAAGCTAGAACAGGACCGTGGCGCAAGTTGAGTGGATAAAACTCTCGGAGTTTTCTTTTTAAATCAACAAGTTTTTCCGAGGCTAAACAACGAAAATAGCTCAAGGAGGAATGTAGAGCCCAAAGCCTTTGCGTTGCTTTTTAACGTCAAAATGTCGACCGTTATTTTCAGTCGCTGATGGAATTTTCCCCCTAAGAGAAAAACATCTGCCACTTACCCCTAAAAGGCAAACTTTGAGCTCCCTTATAGCCATGGTGGGTTCTTTAAAGTGTCTGGCTCATCATTTGTTGGTGTTTTATCGTTGTTTTTGTCTCGTCATGTTTGTCACAGCTATTTTTTTTCTCCCCTCTTCTTGGATAAAAGAGAAACCCAGCCCCTGACACAGACAGGCAGGCAGGCTGACCATCAACCCCAAAAGCTGGCAGTTTGTGTACACTTCCGACCGAGATTTTCAAAATAAAATATTTATTCAAAAATTGGCCAGTAACATTTTTTTCCATCTTAAAAAATTTGAATGCCACAAAAAGGTACACATTTCACAAAATAATTCTTAGGTTTAATAATTATGGCTTACCAGTGCAAAATTCAGAGAAAGAAAAGTAGAAAATTGCCAAAATAACTGCACTAGAAAGCAGATCAGCCCCAGCTGTGTTGGTGTCAGATTAAATCATTAATGCATCTATAATATCACGGAAAAATTAGGGCAGCTGTTAACTGTTTGTTGTGTTTTTCTTTTCTAAACAGCATCTATAATACTTACAGATTAAACCTGATATGGACAAGCCTGCACTGAACAGAGATTTCCTCAACAACGACCAGTTTTTCCTTAGTTGTTCCTCCAAAAACCACAGAAGAAAATAAAAGTTCCTCAAACTGCAGCTGTCTTCCACATGTTTTTAAACGTACAAAATATTGGACAGAAGAGTTGTATTTGTATCCAAATAAATAATAATGTGCCAAAAAAGTTTTTTTTTCTTGCTCAGGAGCCATTTTTGCCCACTTTACTTTGCAGAATTGTTTCAACTCAGCAACATTTCAATTTGAATTAAATCAACACTTTGCATAGGCTGTTCCGAAACTTTTGTTTTTGAGATTCAAGTACTTGCATTTAAGATCATGAGGCAATGATTGGACGTCGTTGCTATGATGTTTTTCAGATATTCAGTGTCAGTTTTATGCAAAATGTAGAATGAATCATGTCCTGTTTTCACCATTTGTGGATAAAGACGCTCACTGTGGTTTTCTGGAGTCCAAAAGCCTTAGAGATTGCAGAATCCTCTTTAATTTCTTTATGTCAGAGAAAAATTTCTTGGTTTTAACCTACTTAATGTTGTCAGAAAGGCACGGTACAAATAGGTAAAAATAGACAAATGTATGGAAGAGGATTATGAAAACTGAAAGAAAAAGAATTCAGATTTTTTATTAATTATTATTGATAAAAAATCTGAATAAAAAGTCAGAATTTAAGCTTGTGGTTTCCTTGTTGATTTTTTGGCACATTTGACACAAATACTTTTAAAGAACCAGTTTTATCGCTCCAGGATCACTCTCCAACATCCTTATATTAAAAGGGAACACTTAATTTGACTGGCACCTAAATTGTGGAAAATTCTGACATTTTCAGAGTAAAACCCCCAAACTTTCAGGGAGTGAGCAACAAGCAGAGATTCAGATCAACACTTTATTCTTCACAGCATTAGTCTGCCAGCAACAGTCTGGTACAAAAGCTCCAAACAATGTGAAAATAGCCCCAGGAGAAGCTCTTGTGTAGGTTTCAGTCACAGGATTAATACAGTTATATCCAGCCTGAGACGAAAGCATGGGCAGCCACACTATAATTATCTCTACAAATCTGTAATGATATAAAAATCAACATATGAGAACATAGGAGCTCAAAATACATTGCTATAATTTACAATAAAGGCAACGCCTTTGCTTTAAATTGCATTTGAATGATGACAGTCCTTCCAGGAGTCAAGGATCTGTGATGAAATGATGGAACACAACTATATTAATGATAATAATAATAAAAATAAACTCCGCACAAATAACCTATAACACCCTTCAGTGGTTTTTTTCACACATCCCACATAAAACATACCCACAGATGTGCTACATCAACATTAAACGTAAATCTCCATGTTTCCGGTGAGTGCACTTGTTTACATTTTGCTGTGATGGAATCAAGGTTTTTCTGCTCCAGTTTTCATTTCCAAAACCAGCAATAGAGCTATATATGTCACTAAAAAGCTGTAAATGAAATCAGGGCATTTGTTGAGCATGACACACAGGAAAACAAAGTATTTTTGTCTTGCTTTCAGTACAAATATCTTTATACACTTGAAATAAGACAAGAGTAATTTATCTCAGCAAGATATATGAGGTTGTTTTAAGTAAATAATTCCTTAATATTGACAATAAAGTACTAGTTTCACTGGTCGAATATTTCACTGCTAAGACATTTTTCCCATGTTATCAGTAAAATAATGTGCCAGTAGAACTAGAACCGGGTTGATGGGTAACACCGCAGTGCCTGTTTATTATGAAATCTGAGGAATAATCAACCAATAGAAGTCAAAAATCAACTAATTATTAACCTAAAACAAGCTCCTATATCTTGCTGAAAAGCTAATTGTTAGTTCATTCTGTCATATTTAAAAGGTTCTAAGATATTTACACTAGAAACAGGACAAAATACTTCGTAAGATTTGTGTTTTTGCAGCGTATGTATATTGTTAGAATGATACTGAAGTTTAAAATATACAGAAAGACCGATCAGAAGTCCTCGTATTCGTGGTTCTCTGGCGACTTGAGTTATGGCACAGTGGTCAGTGATGTCAAATTTGAGGGACTTGCAACAATCTTACATTTTGTGATAATTTCTTGATTTAATTATCGGTGAAAAATAAACTCTAATCTCTCTCACATCCATCATCGTCACCCTCTGATCCTCCTTTAAACGGGCTTGGCACAGCAGATTTAAATGAAATGGTCCCTGGGAGTTTCCACAGAGGTATCCGGTCATCTGCGACAGCTGCTTCTCTGTTTCTAGGTTTTCTGTTTTGCAGTGAAAGGAAACAAAGTCAGAATGCCGCAGAGGACACAGGTGTTCAGTTTCCTGTTTTTGGTAACCAATGCTACAGGTGAACTGCATGCGAGATGACTGTCGCTCATCTCACATGTTGGTGTCTCGTCTGTCTTTGCTCGGTGACGGCTTTGAAGGATCCTTCAGAGGCTTCCCGTTGGTCGGGGCGGGTGCGTCTCCAGTGGCGGCCACGGTGGAGACGGAGCGCTTGGTTTGTTCCTCGCTGCGGGCCCCTGGGCTCGGCTGAGTGGGAGGAGCTTGTTCGGCCGGCGGCGGGACGGTTAGCTCCTGCTGCTGCTGCTGCTTGTGGCTCTGCAGCAGGCGGAGCTGGACCCGGAGCTCCAGGATGGCTTCCTGCTCCTCGTGGATGGCCTGGTTCAGATGGGTGTTTTTGTTCTGGAAGGAAACAATGTCAACACTTTAGTGACTGCAACTAACAACTATTTTAGTAATTGATTATTCTGATAATTTATTGATTATTCTCACAATCAATCAATTATTCTGTTGATTAAAAGATTGTTCTGACAATTAATCAATTGCTCTGATGATTAATTTATTTTCCTCACAATTAATTGATTGTTCTGTTGATTCATCAATTATTCACACAATCAATTGCTTATTCTGACTATTAATCAAACATTCTGTTAATCGACAGAACAAAATAACTTTTTGTTCTGTCGATTAATATGTTATCCTCCCAATTAATCAATTATTCTGTTGATTGATTGTTCTGACTATTAATCTGAGACAAAAAAAAAAAAGAAAATCGCCAAATTCTGCAGTTCTTTTTAATTTAAACATTAACATGCCTTTGTATGAAATATTTAAAATACATCAAAAGATGCAAATAAACAATTTTATTCCATGTTTCGGCAAAATAAACATTTAGTTTCTAAAAATGCAATAATAATTTTAGCAAACTTAAAAATCTTGCCTTTGTTTCTTTATTCAAGTCCTACAGGTTGATCTGGCACCATACATTGTTTTATTGTTTCACACTCTTACACGTAAAGACAGGTTTGTTCATTATTATGTGGTGAGTTTTTATAACTACCATCATTAAGACTTTTTTCTTTTTCTCATGAGTAATTTCTCTACATTTGCATTTTTGTATAACATCCAGTAACAGCATATCTTTAGTGAACACTCAATCATTTGTAGCAAACGATGCAGCTGTAGTGAAAAAAATACTTCTAACATCAACATGTGAAAGGCTCAAATCGTTCTCCTTAACTTATCAATATAGTGTAGGGCTGATCTGTTATCTAGTTCTTGGATTAACTGATTAATAATTGGATGCAAAAGTGGATTAGCAGGAGATTTTTTACTTCATATGAACCAGGTGAAGCTACGTTGAGCCACTGGATGGTTCATTTCAATCTTAAATGCAAATATGCAACATACAGTTAGGGCCAGAAATATTTGGACAGTAACACAATATTTGTGAGTTGGGCTCTGCATGCCACCGCATTGGATTTGAAATGAAACCTCTACAACAGAATTCAAGTGCAGATTGTAACGTTTAATTTAAAGGGTTGAACAAAAATATGTGATAGAAAATGTAGGAATTGTACACATTTGTTTACAAACACTCCACATTTTAGGAGCTCAAAAGTAATTGGACATATAAACATAACCCAAACAAAAAAGTTTTTTCTCAATATTTTGTTGCGAATCCTTTGGAGGCAATCACTGCCTTAAGTCTGGAACCCATGGACATCACCAAACGCTGGGTTTCCTCCTTCTTAATGCTTTGCCAGGCCTTTACAGCCGCAGCTTCAGGTCTTGCTTGTTAGTGGGTCTTTCCGTCTGAAGTCTGGATTTGAGCAAGTGAAATGCATGCTCAATTGGGTTAAGATCTGGTGATTGACTTGGCCATTGCAGAATATTCCACCTTTTTGCTCTCATGAACTCCTGGGTAGCTTTGGCTGTATGCTTGGGGTCATTATCCATCTGTACTGTGAAGCGCCGTCCAATCAACTTTGCAGCATTTGGCTGAATCTGGGCTGACAGTATATCCCGGTATACTTCAGAATTCATCCGGCTACTCTTGTCTGCTGTTATGTCATCAATAAACACAAGTGACCCAGTGCCATTGAAAGCCATGCATGCCCATGCCATCACGTTGCCTCCACCATGTTTTACAGAGGATGTGGTGTGCCTTGGATCATGTGCCGTTCCCTTTCTTCTCCAAACTTTTTTCTTCCCATCATTCTGGTACAGGTTGATCTTTGTCTCATCTGTCCATAGAATACTTTTCCAGAACGGGGCTGGCTTCTTGAGGTGTTTTTGGGCAAATTTAACTCTGGCCTGTCTATTTTTGGAATTGATGAATGGTTTGCATCTACATGTGAACCCTTTGTATTTGCTTTCATGGAGTCTTCTCTTTACTGTTGACTTAGAGACAGATACACCTACTTCTCTGAGAGTCTTCTGGACCTCCGTTGATGTTGTGAACGGGTCCTTCTTCACCAAAGAAGTATGCGGCGATCATCCACCACTGTTGTCTTCTGTGGACGCCCAGGCCTTTTTGAGTTCCCAAGCTCACCAGTCAATTCCTTTTTCCTCAGAATGTACCAGACTATTGATTTTGCTACTCCAAGCATGTCTGCTATCTCTCTTATGGATTTTTTCCTTTATTTCAGCCTCAGGATGTTCTGCTTCACCTCAATTGAGAGCTCCTTTGACCGCATGTTGTCTGGTCACAGCAACAGCTTCCAAATGCAAAACCACACACCTGGAAACAACCCCAGACCTTTTAACTACTTACTTGATTACAGGTTAACGAGGGAAAGGCCTTTTGAGTTACTTGCAGCCTTTGGAGTCCATTGTCCAATTACTTTTGGTCCCTTGAAAAAGAGGAGGCTCTGCATTACAGAGCTATGATTCCTAAATCCTTTCTCCGATTTGGATGTGGAAACTCTCATATTGCAGCTGGGAGTGTGCACTTTCAGCCCATACTATATATAAATTGTATTTCTGAACATATTTTTGTCAACAGCTAAAATAACAAAACCTGTGTCACTGTCCAAATATTTCTGGCCCTAACTGTATTTCCACAGTTTTGGTTCAATTACTGCTGCCAGTGTGTTTTTCTTTCAGCAAATGGCCTTTTTTCAGTCTGTAAACTCCACTCAACAATGAATTGATTACTAAAGTAGTTGACGATTGTAGCAATTTAATTATTTCTTGGAGGCTTAAATAGAATTAAGCAAAAATGCATGTTAGATTTTTGTTTCAAAATAAAAAAGTTTATAGGGCTGGAAGCTCTTTGCAAGCTTTTAGAGTTTTATCAAGCATTTCTTTTAGCTTTACACTCTTGGTGCCACAAACAGGCTGGCATGGGGCCGTTAAACCATCCTGAACGATTCTCACCTCTAGTTCCTCGTTTTGTTTCTGCAGGTCTTCCAGTATCATCTGCAGCTCTTCCTCATCTTCACTCTCACTTTCGCTTTCTGAGGAATACTCCTCCGTCTCGCTGCGACCCTGCTGCCGACTGATGAGGAAACACGGCACTGTTACCACGCTACAATCACATAATCATGATAAAAACGATTCTCTGTTCTTCTATTACCTCTGGATGTCTGCGATTTCTGCCCTCAGCCTCTCGATTTCTTCCTTCTCAGTGGCAATTTGCCTCCGCAGCACTTGTTCGAGTGCGATCAGCTCCTCTTGTTCGGTCAGGATCTCATTCTCCTGATCATTCAAAAGACGTTGTGCAGAATTTTAATGCAGAATTTGCTGGCATGCTGTTGATTTAGTCACACAAAAGTGTACGATTGGGTCACCTGTGCTAAAAGCAGGTTGATGACTTCCTCTTCGTTCTCGGTCATTTCCTCTTTGGACACGTCCTCCTTTGAGAGACTGGCGATTTCTTGAGCTATCTTACTCTCACACTCCTGAATGAAAAAGAATAGAATAGAAATAAGGTTTATTCCTAAGGAAACTCAGATGCAGATTCAAAGAAAACAAAATCTTACCAAGTATTTCTGGTCTAGTTACAAGTTCAAATATGTTATTATAAAACAAATTTACAACCAACTTTTCAGCCTCATTTTAGGTCAATAATTCATAAAAATTGAATAAAATTTCTAGTTTCATTGTTGGATTTTTTTTTTTTTTTTGACGAGAAGAATGTCTTGTCATAAAGAAATATTAGCTCATTTTAGGTCAATAATTCCTTAATATTGATGAAAAAGTTCTAGTTACACTGGCAGATTAATTTATTTGCAACAAGGGGAAAATATCTTGTAATAAGCACAATGTTCGAGCTGCAGTTATTGATTAAACAATTTAATTCCATCATTTTAATAACGGATAAATCTGAATTCATGCATGATTCAGCAACAGCTAAGTGTCTGTTGTGTTTTTTTGCCTCCTGAGTTTTCCTTCTTCTATAATTGATCGTTCCAGATGAGTGGGAGTATTACCTGCCGCTTGGCCTCCCTCAGTTTGCGTTTGAGAGCCGTCAGGATTCTCTGGACCTCCCAGAGCCGCTCCTCCTTGGACAGGTCCTTCACGCCCGCCTGCAGGTCTCTGTGCAGGCAGTTCAGCAGGAACTCCTGGACACACACACACCTTCACTGGTTCACACCGATTCAAGATAACGAGTTTGACAAGCACACAGGCGTCAAACACAACAACAAACGGCTGTAGCCACACAAAGTCTGGGTTTCCACAGTGTTTCCAAACTTATTCATGCATGTTCTTCGTTAGTTTTTATGCCTTTCTGGACATTTGAGTTCAGACTAATCTGTAGGTTAAACATGAAGCACATAAATTCCAACAACCATGGAAGAAATACAATCTTTGAGGTTCACTCTGTTGTGAACATTTTTTGAAATGCTTGTGCCCACAAGCTGTGAAAAATAAATGTTTTTTCTTGTCTTTCATTGTAAATTTTTTTTTAAAAATTTGGAAACACAGGAAGAAAGAAAAATAAAGATCTCTAAAATTTTTAAATCATAATCCAGTCACAGGTTAGGAATAAAAACATGTAAATACAGCTGCATTTATTAAGGATATTAGAATTTTGTCCTGTGGAAAACTTAAGGTCTGCAAAGCTTGTGTACAAACAAGAGTTCTCACTTTGACTTAAGCTGCAGGTCTGGGTTTGACACATTTCTCATTAAGACATGATTGTTTTTCATTCAGTGGGCAAAGAATCCAGATATTTATACTGGATTATATTTCACAATAATATTGCTCAAGTAAAAGTCTAAATATAGTAGTTTATGGTAAAAACTACTCCAAAAACGAATTTTGTTCTAAAAAGTTACGACTTTAACAGTTCTTCTGCAATCATGCTTCCTTCTTCATATACTGAGCCGATGAAAACGAGACAAAGATGAAAAGATGGTGGACTGAAACTAACCTGCCGCCGAATCTCCTCCTTGATGTTGTCCTGGGTCTCAGGCAGAGCGGGCATGGTCGCCATGTTGGACCAGCGGAGCGGCCGCACCACCGGCTTCAGGACAACGTCCCCAAACAGCTCCTTCACGTGGGTGAAGAAGATGTAGAGAACACGGTTCCCAATCTGAAAGGAAGAAGAACAAAATGTCTCCACCTGCCAGCTGAAAGGTTTCTGGAGGAGCTTCTCTGCTATAAATTTCTGAATATTTACTTGTCCTCATTACACTGATCCTGGATTCCTACATGTTTATTTGAACAGACGTGTTTTGGCTCAGAATAAGTGGAACAGCAGTAGAGCGGCTCCAGTGGGGATAAATTAGCTGCACTGAACTGGGCCAGTGGGTCAGACATGAACTCATGTGAGAACCAATAAAACCTCACTAAACTTGTTGCTAGGGGAACGTTCAGGGTTGCTACTAACTTTTTATGTCGTAATTTCACACTTTCCAGATTCAAAATCACAGAGCTTTAAGGTATTTTATGAGTCTAATTTTGAAGATTTTTTTGGCATGAGTTGTCTTCATGGAGTTAGCAGACAGGAAATGGGCAGAGACAAAGCGGATGATGGGGGGACACGAAGCACAGACAGAAATCAAACCAGGACGGCTGCGTCGAGGACTAAAGCTTCAGTAAACAGGGTGACCGCTCCACCACTACATGACATATCGCCCAGATTTAAAATGATTAACCACATTTATATGATGAAAACCACAACAAGCACAGGGTGGATAGATGGACGAATGAACAAACTGATAGATAGATGATAGAGAAACGATAGACTGATCAAATATTGATGGAAAAAATTATGGTTAGATGAATTACATGGATGTATGATGAATTAATTGTCCATCTGTCCAAGTAGATCGATGGATGGACGGATAGACAGATGAATGGATTGATGTTCCGTCCAGTGGATAGGTGAACCAATGGACAGATGGATGAACCAATGGACAGATGGATGAACCAATGGATGGATGAACCAATGGATGGATGGATGAACCAATGGATGGATGAACCAATGGATGGATGAACCAATGGATGGATAGATAAAGCAATGGATGGATGGATGAATGAAGCAATGGATGGATGAATGAAGCAATGGATGGATGGATGAAGCAATGGACAGTTGTTTTAGACTAACAGCAGATAAATCTCGACCCAGATATTTTCCCTCCTGCGGTCTGGTTTGCCTGCTGACCTGAATGGTCGGGTTCAGGACGATGGAGATGTTCTGGATGTTCATCTTGGTGTCCGTTTCCCTGGCGATGACGTGGTCCATGTGCGTGACGAGCCAGGAGAGCAGCAGGCGGCTGTCCGCCGGCACCTCGGCCAGCAGCTTGTGGAACTCCGCCAGCTTGTCAGCCTCCGCCGGCCGGCTGCAGGCATCCTCGAAACGCTGGGTCAGGTCCCGGCCCAGCAGGTTCTCCGGCAGTTCCCGGAGGTACTGCTTCAGCAGGCTGGCCACTGTATGTGGGTCGTACTCCTCCAGGCAGGGACACTCCTCCCGGTCATAGGCTGCTTTCAGCTCATCCACTTTGGACTTCATACCTGCCAAGAAAAGATGAAGAAAGAAAGGCTTTTTTCTAACAACCAGGGTTCTTCAGGTTTTAACAACTCAAATGATGTAAGACTTTAAGATGTAAGTCTTAAAGTTCTTTATCAAAGAACTTTAAGACTTAAGACTCATAAGGGTTGGAAAGAGAAGTGAGCCAATGCCTAAGAAAAACATACATTTGTATTTAATCATGATGAATATAAGGAAAGCTAACTAACTTTACTCTTACTTGAATAATTTATTGGAGGGCTAATTTTTACTTTAACTACATTAAAAGTATGTTGAAGTAGTACTATTCTTACTTGAGTATAGCAAGCTGACAAGTTAGCAAGCAAGAGTGAAGCTTCAGAGGGCAGAGAATCCAGAAATTTTACTCAAGGAAGAGTAGCGATACTGAATAATAAAAAAATAAAGTATGGTGTAGTAAAAATACTCCTAAAAGTACATTATTTCCAAAAATTACCCAAATAAATGTGAGTAAATCTAAATAGTTACTAACCAACTCTGCTATTATTATAACAAAACTTTAAGTCCATATTAACCACATCTAAAAGAAATCAGATTTTTGTCCTTATTTATTCTTAAATTGTAGTCAATTCAATATTCCGGGGACCACAAATGGCCCCTAGACCCTACTTTGAACAACTTGGGTCAACATAATTGAATAAAATTGTGTTTTTTAGATAAACTGTGAACAGGTGCTGCATGATAAACAAATTAAACTGAATACCTGAGACCCTGTAGATGCCCTCACACTTCATGCCGTAGTTCTCGATGTAGTCTATGCATTCCCTGAAGATGGCCGGCAGCTGGATGCCGTCGTAAAGAGCTGTCCTCTTCACAGCCTCAGCCAGCGGCGCTCCAAAGATGGGTCTGACGGTGGGGGTCTCCACTGGGACCGGCTCAGCCTCTGAGGCCGGCTTCTTCTTCTTCTTCTTCTCCTTCCACTGTTTGACCACGTCGGCGGCCGTCAGGTCCTTGGACTTCTTCTCCTTGGCCTTGTCCTCCTTGGGGCCCTTCTCCTTCTCCTTCACCTTGAAATCCTTCTCCTTCTTCTTGGAGAAGCTGGGCTTCTTGAACACGTGGATTCCCTTGGAGCGCTTCATCTTGGAGGGGCTCTCGGCTTCGTCCGCCGAGCTGTCCTCCTGGAAGGCGGCGTATCCCTCAGCTGCAACACGAGGAAGAAACGGGGTTAAATTTGAGAAGAGGAAAAAAAAAATCAAACACTCCTACAGCAGAACGACGACGGCAGCGAAACACAAACAGGAAGACGGTGAAGAGAGAGAACGGGGAAAAGAGGTCAGCCACTGATTTAGCTCAGGTCCCTCAGCAACTCTCCTCTCTAAAAACACGTCGTTTAGGTAGATTTCCAGCCAGTCGACTCTTCCACACCTTCACTGGGAATCATCCACTCCCTCCTTTCTCTGACTGGGTCACTACACTGCAAAAACACAAAATCTCACCAACTCTAGTTTCTACTACAAATATCTTATTACACTTTAAATAAGACAAGACTATATTTTCAGCAAGATATTAAGAGTTTGTTTTACATCAATAAAACAGCATTGACACTGATCAGAGTTAGCTAGTAATTACTTACATTTACTCAATTAGACTTAATTGGAGAAAATATAGTTTTAGGAGTATTTTTACTGTGCTGAACTTTTTACATTTACTTGAGTCATTTTGTTATCTTTTATTTTACTTCTATATTATGGAATCATTAGCTTAAAACAAGCTCCTATGTCTTACTGAAAAATTTCTTGTTAAGTTAGTTTTGTCTTACACCACGTGTAGTGAGATGTTTCCACAATATTTAAATACCAAAAATACTTTTGGTATTTAAATATTTAAATACTTTTGGTATTTAAATGTTGTGTTTTTGCAGTGTGCGGTGGGAGCTGTTTCCAGATGTGGAAAAATGATGACACAAAGTGGACAAACAGCCCACACTCTGGGCGAGAACAGGATGGGACAGTGGAAAAATCTCTTATCTGTTTCCATAAATGTCCCGCCATATCAGCAATGTTCAGTTCTATGCAAAAGTCTTTAGCCAGCTTTAATTACTTTAGAGGTGACCCATTATGCTTCCTTCAACAGAGTAGGAAAGGGTCTTTTGGCTACTCCATATTTTGCACAAAATCATTCATAGATAATAAGACTTTAGTCTGCTCAGTTCAGCCCATTAGCTCTTCATGGTCCTCCTGTCACTTTAAATAAGTTGCTGCTGGCCACGCCCCCAACTCAATGTTTGCACTCTGACATGAAAATGGCTGCAAACAGACGCACATTTATCATGCATTTAATCTCAAACATTTAAGACATTAATGCTACATAATGCAGATTAATCGCATTTTCAATTTTGACCTAAAAGAGTCTCTCATGTGGAGGGTTACAGAGTTCACAGCGGCGAGGTCTTATACTGCGGTCAGCGATGCAGTCGCAAAAATGAGTAAAAAGATGAGCAAGGAGGGTAAGACTGCTGTGTTCAGCTGTGAATTTTGCTTTAAAGGTGCAATATTTTGCGTTTTCCAGGCACATGGTACTTGATTATGGTATAAAATAGCAACTATGTTGTCTTCATTTGATTTAAAAGTGGAATATTTGTAATTTAACACCTTGAAATTGGACCTCTGTCTTTTTAAAAACTTCTGCTTTTCTGAAACTTCCTTCCTTCAGGAAGTCATCCTCTACAGAGTGAACTAGTAAACATTACATTTTGTCAAGTGTTGTCATTACACATCAAAATGTTGTTCAGCGTTTCATTTATGATCGTTCAAAGAAACTCTGAACAAGTGGGTTTTAGCCTAGATTTACAGGAAACCAGTGTTTTATGACTTTGTAGTTTTATGACTATTCCTGACATGCTATACAAATAAAATCAAAACTTTCAGAAAGTGAAGCCACATCTTACTCCTCTTCTCCTTCTTCTTGAACTTGTTCTTCTTCTTGCTGTGCTCCTTGTCGTCATCTGAGACGTACGGGTCCGGCGGCTCGTGATGGTGTCCATCGTGAGGCGGCGACGGCTCGCCGGTGCGGTACAGGCCCGGGAACTTGGTTGGGCTGATCTCCTCGGAGCTCGGGGTCCGGGCCACGCCTCCTGGGTGATCGGCCCGGCGCTGCTCTGCAGGGCTGCTGCTGGGCGGCAGGAAGCACTCGGTCATGTCTGATCTGGTCGTATTGCTCCTCTGACTGACACGTCACGGCTCCATCGCACCTGCACAGGTGAAAACATGGGTGGAAATAGGAACAACAGCAGTCAGCGCAACACTTTTCCTACAGTGAATCCTGATTTTAATGTGGCCTGATTGACAAAAAGTAACTCTAAAGTAATGAGTATAAGGTAGTGAAGCAAATCATCAGGGCTTTTAGTCCAATTAGAAGTGATTAATCTATCATAAAAATAATCGTTCACTAATTTAGTAATCGAGTAATCATTAACCGAAGTGCACAGACCCAAAAAAAGGCCAATTGCTGAAAGAACATATTCAGAGCAGTAACTAAGTTAAACTGCAATTACTTCTCAAAATAATAAATAGATTTTTTAATTAATTAAATGTTAACTGTAGTGCATTTATTCTTATTCAAAAAATGAATTCTTTGTTTATTAGTGTGTTTCAATGTATTTATAATATTACATTTAAAAAGCTTGAGTTGTTAAATGAAAAAGCTGCAGAATGGGCCAATATTTTGTCCGATTAATTGTAACAATAATCAAATACTTCCCTAATTGTTAATGGCAGGAGTATAAATTGTATTAATTTTTAATCTTTGACTGACCTGTTAATTCAAGCAACAGCTGCAGGTCTTGATATGATACAAATTATTGCTGTTTTAGAACAAAATATAGCTCAAACTAATATTTTTTGGTTATTTTTTATATATATTTTACAAAAAGAAACAAATTGTGTCTGTGTGTGACAAACAATCAAAGAGCCGGTGTGATTTTTGTCATTTCTCCACCATTTTGAAATTTCTGTTATTTTATTTCCGACACTTAGTGAAGCAATTTACCTCCAGGCGTTTCATGCAAACATTAAACATACTTTTCATTAAACACATTTCTGCCTATAAATATAGTTTTCTATGTATATCAGATGTAATATTCTAATCTTAAATGTCATGTGTTGTTAGCACCTGTCAGGAAATCATCATAATTAAGAGAAATAAAGTTGCTATCTTTGTTTAATTAATCTATATGACTTTTTAATAATATTCTAACTTACTGAATGGGTCTAAATAGAGAAATACAATTAGGAAATATGCCAACTACTAAGTCAAAATCTAAATAGCAACTTAATTTTACTCAGTTTCTTGTGATCAGGATTTAAGTAGCAAAATATTCAGCTTAGATATTTTAAAACAAAACATGATTGACACATTTTCTAACACGTCTCTTAATCTTAGGTGTGAAAACAAAAACAGAACCGACTAACCTCAACCTGAGCAAGCAGAAATACTAAACAAGTGATCTGCCATCTCCAAACTTTAAGCCCGTTCAGCCCAAATAAACAACAACCTCTTGATTGCAGCTGTGGTCTCCACCCAGCAGATGGGGCTTCTGCCATTCAAAAACAACAACATGGTGGGGTCATACGTGACCCCACCATCCATGTGTCTGATGCCTGCAGACAGCTTGAAAAGCAGGGTAGCAACTTGATTTATTACTGCAGCAACGAAAACAAAAGGGAACCTGAGCTGCTGTAAAGTGCATTAGGAAGCAGATGAAATGACCCTAAAAGGAGATGCGGCTTTAAGGACCAACGCAGCTGTTATCTGTAAAGCAACAACATGGCGCAATACAACAATACAGAAATGACCAGTTGTACAAATCACTCTGTCAATATAACACTGGCTTAAACTGTAGAAAAGACTAATCAGCATCAGCAGCGTCAACTTTAATCTCCCCCTTGTTTGCTTTGGTAGATCGACATCATAATTTACAATTAATTTCTGCCCCATTTGAGCAAACTAACGCCACACAGCCAGCCCTGTTGAACTATACTGCTGTCATAATACCACAATATGTTGCCAATGCGCAATTTGAAGCGCATTTTCCTTCAAACAGCCATAAAGTTAAGCTCTGGTCTGAATGGAGAAGGGCCCCATCAGCTAACGTTACTTCAGCTAGCTGGAAACATGTCGGTTACGACAAAACCCGCTGATATATTCATAAATACTCACTGGTTACCCTCAGAAATCCACAGGCAGATGCAAAAACTTACCTTCAGACAGCCGTTCTTTAATTTTTAGAGGGTAATATTGAAAAGAGTATAAACTTTACCAAGTCTTGGTCGGGCAATCCCACAGTGGAGCTTCCGGTTGTGTGAAGACCAAATAAACTCTACAGCGCATGCGTGAAGGCACAGGTGCGTCATGGGAAATGCAGTTAAAATTGATATTTAGGTAAAGCAGACCAGACAATAAAAAAAAAATATCCAGAGGTAGGTAGAAACTACTCAGTTTACTCAGTTACATTTATTGAAGTAACCTTTTGGGGGGAAAAATTAGGAGTAGTTATATCACACTTTTTATTATAGTGAAGTGTTGCAACTTTCAATAGAATACAATATCTGACTTCTCCACCCACTGTGAGTAACTTTACTGGATGAAAAACAAACACGTTTTAAACAAAAATTAATTGTTATGTTGTTTTCTGTCTGCTTTTGTGTCATTTTAAGGTCAAGAAAATGCAATAAGCTGAATATTTTTGCAACACCGTCAAAACAATCTTGAACATTTGTTATTCCTGTTGCGTTCAGAGGCACGTTTCCATATTTTTAAATTAATAAGGATTTGGGTCAGGGAAGTTTATACAATTGCATCATCTGTTCATGTCAGACGCTGGCTCTTAGCCTATGTTAAGATGGCTCCTCTCCTTTCTATCTCTCATAAAGCCACAGGATGCTTGTCCCATCCGTTCGTCTCAGTCCACGTTTAATGAGCTGCAGATCCAGAGGAGGAAGCAATGTTACGATCGTTTGGTCTTGGAATGGCTGAGCTTCAGCTTAAGATCTACAGCAAGTCTTCAATTTGTCAGGTTTTTGTGAGGTTAGCACAATTACACCATAAAATCTAAACTTTTTCCAGCTAAATAAAACAAAGAAACAACCATATCTGCTTATAAGACAAATATAAAGTTTAAAAGGGTGTCATTGATTACTTTAACAAAAACAATCCAATTCAGTTTTAGCATGTCCTTCCTGCTGGATTTATTTCTAGACTGAGGTTTCATCATTTTAGAAACTTTAATTTTTCTCTTATGTTGAATTGGATCAATGCTTGGCTTGGCGCTTCAGCAAATGTACCCACAAATTAAATGAAAAACAAATTGCTCTTCATGTCCATGATCCAAAATTGTCACACTGCTAAAATACAAAATCTTACCCAGTATTTTTTGTCTAATTTTCAGTGTAAATATATGTATACATAATATTGATATTATATATATATATATATATATATATATATATATATATATATTATATATATATATATATATATATATATATATATATATATATATTAAAAGTTGTAGTCACACTGGAAGATTATTTCACTTATAACAAGATATTCTCTCTATGTTAAAAGTAAAATAATCTGCCTGAGCAACTAAAACTTTTTATTCAATATTAAGAAATTGTTGCCGAAAAACAAGTTCCTATACTTCGTGAAAAGTTATTTTCAAGTGATTTCAAGTGCACTAAGATATTTGCACCGGAAACTAGACATTTTTATTTTGTGTTTCAGAAGTGTTTATTGCATTGAACAATAATAATGTTCTTGTTTTCAGACCATTACCCAAATCTTATGAAGTATTTTTCATTTAGGTTTTGGTGCAAATATCTCAGAGGAGTTTGTTTTAAATTAATAGTTAATATTAATTAATAGGTTTTTTTATTAATAACTTTCACTAGCAGATTAGTTCACTTATAGCAGTTTAGCTTTCTCATGTTTTGCAGTGAAACTTATATTGACTTAAAACAAGCTCCGATATCTTACTGAAGTCCTGCAAAATAGTTGACAGGATCAAAAAATGTTGGTAAGATTTTGTGTTTTTGCAGTTCAAAGATGCTCTAAAATTAATTGTGGTTATTTTTAAACCCACCTTTGCATTTGTCCTTGTGATTATTTGACCTAATAATGCAGCGTCATGCCATACCAGGACACCCAAACAACAAACATTGCAGGCTTGGTGTAATGCAGGTTTTACTGCCAGGTCTGAGCAGTGCAGTGATAAATATCCTCTGTGTTTAGGCCAAATTAGGTTTGGAGAATGTTTAGACTGTGGTATCATTTTGATCTCAGCTTCACTTCTGATTTCTTTCAGGTGGTGGAACTGTCAAACAGAGCTCTGAGCAGCGGCGCAAACTAAATTTGGGGAAACCATTTGCTATTCTGAGTCACCCGTATTTTCCCAAGGCTCTGTGGTTGGGATTTAGAGCTGGTGGTCATCAGGACATATGAAACAAATTAGTCCTCTGATGATCTTTTGTTGGCTCCGTCTGCACCCAAAGCCACAGCTGCAGCGGCGAAACGAGGTCAGGGCTCGATATAATAATAATTAAAAAGAAAGGGACAGACAAGGTTCCATTGTACGCCTGCAAGATGAATCTGTGCACGTTGCTGTGGCATGCCAATTGGGAACATAATCAGTGATAGGGTGTCCCGCTGCTTTTTGAAAGTGCACTGGCATAACAAAGAGCATTTGTGTGCGGTGGCGAGAGATTGGCATCAGGGAATGTTTTCCTCTTGGCTTGCATGAGATGGTCATTGAGAGCTGAACACCTGTGGACCAGAATGGAAGAATAACAACGTTGTTTCCCCAGGAAATGATGCGTTTCCTGACTTGTGAAACACTGAGCTAAGGTTAGAGTGGCAGAAAGGGCAACTGGGAAAAACATTTACCCGTTAACTTCTGTGACACACCTTTTCCATATAAATATAATAAGCATGAGCAGATATCTTAAAATAATCTTTTTAAAGAAGTAGTCTCTTACATTGACTGAAAGGTGTTGTTTTATTCTGCTGAATTTATTTGTTTCTTGGATTAAAAACAAAAAGCATTACAGGTTCAATATGTATATCTTATAAAAATAAATTTTCTCCATATTTTTCACCATCATAGCATAAAAGTATATATTTTTTATCGGTAAAACTGATCATTCAAATATAACTTAATAAGATTCCTAACATTCTGCATTTAATTGTTTTATTATTATAGGCGTTTCCATCAACTTGCTACTTTATTCTTGTATTTATTACTTTTACTTTATTTTTATAACACTATAGGTGTAACACCATAATGTTATGACTTTAAATCTTAGCATTAGGGCAAGGCCAAATTAGGCAGAATATAATCTCAACAAAAGATTTCACAAAGGAAATCAGAATGGTACCAAGAATGGATCCTTGTGGAACTCCACATTTAAAGAAAGAGGAAAAATTCACCTGTTTTCTACGCCTGTTACCAAAAAAAAAAAAAATCAACGGTTGTTTGGGTTTAAATTTCTTCATTTAAACTAAAATTATAAACAGGGAGATTAAATCTCAAAGGATTCCTAGAATGAAGCCTTGTGGAACTTCAAATGACCAACATTTATTTATTGGACGCAGAAACTCCTACTGAAAAATTGGGCTCAAAACTGAATTTCATTGACGGTTTATAAGGAGATTATAAGATTAGCATTCAGTTGTGCCACATGAAGGGTGATTGACAGTGCTAAGCCCCGCCTTCTGGCTCTGATTGGTTGTTTCTAGTTACCACTGGAAGAAAGCAGAGAAGCTCCTTTTTTTTTCTTTTTTTTAACAGATTATCTGTCTTATAACGTCCTGTCACAGAATAACAGTTTCAACAAATATGTAGAAAATATTTTTATAAAAGTTACACACTGCAGCTTTAAGAACAGTGAAAAATGGGCAAACAAGGTTTAATTCAGTTAAATTGAGCCTAGCCTTTGAGACACAAACACTTAAGTTACCAAATCTTTTCTTTATTTGGTACAAGACTGGGATTTTGCTGACAGTAATTGCAAAAATACATTATTCATATACACCTCTAGTAAAAAACACACTATGGAAGACATATCTAAAAATATACAGTAACAGCAGAATAAAAAACACTTTGCAGGAGGAGGAGAAAGGGGAGGCCGGGGGTTATTTTACATGGTTACTGAGGAATGCTAACATATAACAGTGATGGGTTTCTTTTCCCTCAGTCTTTTGGTGCCAACATGTGCCCAGAGATTGGATCGGCTCGGTTCGGGTCAGACGAGACAGTTCAAACACTTGACGGCCTTGCTGCCGTAGTCCAGGCACTCTGGGCCGATGCACTGGCAGCAGGCGTTGTGAAACCAGCGGTACTTTGATCCGCCCATTGCCTCACAGTACTGCTTGCACTGACGAATGGAGACGCAGTCGTCAAAGTAAACCACCGTGCACATTTTCTCTGGAAGGAAAGGAAGCAGGTTGAGTCACGGATTCAGCAAAACATGGTTCACAAGAACACATAATTACCTTTAGCCCTCAGTGTTTCTACTTTTACTTAATGGGTTTGCTGTAATTAAGTGAGGCCATGTGTTTTGGGTCGGTGTAATGAGTTTACTGCTGAGCTTTGTGGGAATGCTGTAACTTTATAGCAATGGTTTAAGAGTGAAACGCCAACAAATAGCAGCAAACTAAAACAAAAACATGGAAAGAACTGAAGCTCTGCATTATCAGAGCTTGTCTGACAGAGTCTGTACGTAAAAACACTGAAAAACTTAGAGGAGCGTTGTGAAAATACACAGAAGTATTTTAATATAAAACCCTTTATTTATACAGGAAAATCTCTTAAGATTCAAAACAAGCTACTTAACATTTATCATGTCATATAATAACTTAAAAACTTAAAATGGTCCAACATTATTGGTCGACTTGCTTTTCCTCTAAGTTTGAAAATAAATAGGCATTAATAAACAATTCTAGAAAACCACAAACTGCGGATTATTTGTTGGACATTTCCAAAAAAAAATAGACAATTTCCAATTGTTTGTTGGTAACGTTTTTGCCGTACTTGCCTTGAGGTCAGGGGCCTGATCCAGTCATTTAAAGGGCCACCAATGGTCCCCACGCCACAGCTTGGGCACCCAGGATGCCATGTGGCTTGTTCAAACCTGAGGTGAGCTAATTTCTTAATATTTCAGAATATTTTTACTGAATTTACAATAATTTCTAGTGAATTCCTCAACAGCTCTGTCTGAATGTACAAACCTCATGGAAGAAAATATTTTTGCATTGCATAAAAAATAAATAAATCACATTAACAATATGTCAACAGGGTGTCCAAACTTTCTGTGGCCAAAAATTGTCCTTGTGGGTTTAAAAAAAAAAAAAAATTAAATCACCAAAAATGTTCAACAACAAAGTAAGCGTGAACTATCTTATTTTGGCATACATGTAATAATAATGTTTAATAATAATGATAGATTTTATAAATGAAGTTTTTAATACCATTATGTCTATTTTATTTTGTAGAAATACAAAATAATAAGATACGAAACTTAAAATGCTTTTTCCATGTTTTACTTGTTAATCAAAATTCATCCAGTTTGCTTATTAATTTGGTCTCAATTGAAGAAAACTGACAAAATATTTTGTTCTCAGAAATAAAATCAGGATCTGGGTCTTAAAATAAAAACACTAGATGTATTTAGCCAGGTTTTAATAAACACAGCAATTATGATGTAAAAGTCGTACTTTTATTCTAATTTATTTATGATTAGAGGTCGAGGGGCCGCAAAGAAACAACAAAAAGATAATGAGTGGCCCTCGGTCCCCTGCTTTGACAAAACGAGGTGAGAAGGAACACGCCTCACCGTGAGGATCGATGCCGGTGTGGATGCTGTTCCCGGGCACCGACACGTTCTGCGGCTGGCTGTTGAGCGACTCCAGGAAGGAAACCAGGTTCTCGTGGTGCGTGAACTCCTCCGCCACGGGGAAGGACACCACCATCATGTTGATGGGCGCGTCGCCCTCCGTCAGGGCGCGGAACAGCGAGGGGATGGGGCGGTGCAGCTCCTCCACCGTGCTCTTGGAGGTGGCAGGAGAGTCGCTGTAGTTCTTGGGGTTACACATCCCTGTCAGAGAGAGAGAGAGAGAGAGAGAGAGAGAGATGTCAGAGGAGGTTGTGGAAGAATTTCTGCCTCCACAAACTGTTTTAAAAGCAATCTTTTAAAACATTTTGTACTTCCATTTGGGTCTCAACTGCTTCCAAGAAAAATTACATTCCACAGGAATCGAACCGCTACCCAGCAACCCCAGCGGAGCTCCGCCCGTTACCTAGCAACCCCAGCAGAGCTCCGCCCGTTACCTAGCAACCCCGGTGGAACTTCAGATTGTTGGATCTGCTGGTTTTACTGCTGTAAGCGTTTTTGTTTTTGACTAACCATCCAGAAACCACTTGCTGCGTTCTCGCAGGAGGCTCCACTGATGCTTTTCAAAGACGCACGGTTGTATAATTGCCAGTGCTAAAATGTGCTAAAATATTTAATCAGACTAATTCCTCACTAGCGTCACTTTGTGAGCTTTGGACACCCCTGGCCTATCCTAACCTAACCTGGTCAAAGCAGCTTCACGGTCCCCTTTAAACTCAATGGCGTTGGTTTTGGAAAACCAAAGCACTGTAAAAAAAAAAAAAAAAAAAAAGAAAAAAAGTCTCATCTCAATTAAGGTCTGTTTAACACTTCGTTTAATTTCAACACAGAAGCAAGTCCCCGCATCCCCAGATACAATCTCCCAACCCTGTGCAACAAGTCCAAGTGAATTACAGCTAATGGGTAAATCATTTAATGGGGGACGGAGTTTGACAGAGGATTTGGATCAGAAACCGACGCTAAAAGCAGAGCCAGAGCAGCTGTTTTAGATAAAACACACTCATGGCTGCTCCACTCCCTCCCCGCATTTTTTAAATCCAAGCTCCTCTAACCAGCCTCCTAAATCTTCCCCCGCGATCCTCTAAACACTCACACTTCAAAGCAGTCGGCGTTTGGCACAGATAACTCGCTGCAAGTGGAAAACGGACAGTGAAAAAGGGAAGAAAACATAAAGGAAGACAACGTATTTGCTCAGAGCGACAACATCTCCTCGGTGGGCTGTAAAAGGAGGAAAAACAGCGCTGCAACATCTGCGCCGCAGCAGCTGCTGCAGCAGCAGAGCGCGGCGCTCAGATCCTTGTTCTTCTTTTCCACATGAAAGCATTTTAATAAAGCCTCCATGTCAGCAAGCGGAGCAATATCTGTCAGTCAGAGCGGATCTGAGAGATCTGCGATCTCCACTCAGAGGAGAACCAACTTCTTCTGCTCCTTCCTAAAACATGTCTGCGTCTGCAATCTGATCTTTGAATATCTTTGTGCAAAGTTGAAGAAATCTACAGACATTCCTTTAGAAGTGAGGAGATTACCCAAAAACCGTACTAAAGTAAAAGTGGAATTATTTTAACGTATTTTTACTGAAACAATTAAGTAAAAAGTTCAAGAAATTACTAAAAAAAAGTTGTCTATTTTTTAAAAAACGTTTACTCAAGTACTGAGTTACTGATCAAATATCAAATATTTAAAAATTACATCATCAGACGGACCAAAGTATGAAACTAAGTGGAAATGTTGGTGTTTAAAGTGTCAATAAAATACACTTTTATTGTATTTTAATGATGTTCACCACCAATCTGATTTCCTCTTTTGTTAGAATAAATTTTGTGAAGCTGTCTGTCATGAAGCAGCTGAGGCGGACAGCGAACGCATGCATGTGCTGCACCTACCAACGCAGTCGCAGCACTCCTCCCACAGGTTCCCCAGACACAGCATGCAGTCTTTGCAGCAGGAGCAGTTTCCATCGGAGGGGCGGCACTGGCACAGCTCCTGCAGGAGATGCATGGAAACACAGATGGGAAAATGGAAACACACACACACACAACATGCTTAGGAACACCACAAAGACCTCAAGATGCATTTCTGCTTCAGAGCAACAAAACGTAATCATGTATGACGCAGAATTAGGCTCAGAAGAAAAATACATAAAATTACAAAATCAAAATGGGAATGTTATTTTTAAAAAAGTCACCATATTGTGTTAAAGTTGTAATATTACGATAATAAAGTTGGAATATTACAATAATAAAGTCGTTATATTATGATAATAAAAAGTCATACTATTACAATTCTATTAATGGTAATAGTATGTTTTTATTATCATAATATTACGACAATAATAAACTCGTAATATTACAATAATAAAGTCATAACATTACATGAATAAAGTCATAATATTACCACAGTAAAGTCAGAAGAGAATAAAATGATCATATTGGCAGAATAAAATCGTAATAAACACATAAGCATCATATTATCACCAGTAGCAACCAGCAAGATGTGTTAATAGTTACTTTATTTCTAAAACAGAATAACTTCACAAGATACTCAACATTCTTCATTTCTCTGCGATCAAGGCCATTTTTTCTCATAATGTCACAACTTCATTCTGCTAATTTTATTAAGTTATTCTCATAAATAATATATTTTTCTTAACCTGACCCTAACACTTTGTCTTATTTAGGTCTGAGGAGAGGTTTAGAAATAGAAATACAGATTTCAGAGACACATAAATGTTTATTTTGGTGAAAACTGTCAGCTTTAAAATGTTTTTTTGGGTATTTCCAGACTCTGAGGTGCAGAGAGAGAGGAGGCAGCGTGTGGCCAGGCTCCTCAAACAGGAAGCCTGTCATTAAACCAGCAACAGGAAGGACAACCACTGGTTTGCTTCCAGTACAGTAATTATTACTGGACTAAACAAAACCAGTGAGTTGACTGGGAAAGGATAACATCATATTTAATTGAGAAATTTTACCTGAAATGCACCAAGTTAGCGTGTGTGCTTAGCTACATATTATTAGCCAACTGTGTTTTGTTCTCTTATGTTTTCTCAATAATAATAATAATATTATGACTTTATTCTGGTAATATTAATTTATTTTCATATTAACACAACTTTATTCTTGCAATACGACTATTTCTATATTATCGTGAGTTTATTCTCATTTTATAATTTTTTTTAGTAAAATAACCTCTTTTGTTATTACAACTTTATTCTCATATAATTGCAACTTTGTTACTGTAACATAGTGACTTTATTCTTGCACTATTTTGAATTTGTCTTAATTCCTGATTCTGGTATAATTATGATTTTGTTCCTGTAATTCAATTTTCTTTTTCCTGTGTTATTGCAGCTTTCTTTTTCCTGTGTTATTGCAGCTTTATTCTCATAAAGGTTTTAAAAACCTGTTTGAAATAAATAAAATTAATGTTATGGTTTTATTCTCGTAATGTAATCACTTTATTCTTAAAAATGTATAAATGTTACCTTGAAGCAAGCATTCAATATGAGCTTTACAACATACCAGGCTACAAAATTCAAGTGGATTATGATCTCAAATATTACAGTTTTGTTTTATTTCTGTCACTTCTTGGAGTATTTTTACTCCTTGGTTGTGATTGGTTCTTTTTCATCAAAGGAACATTCTGATTGGATGAAAACAATCCGTCATTCACTGGAGGTGTCATTCATTTACATTTGCATTAATTTATAAGCATACAAAAACACATGAAGCTTCACTCATTTTTGATGTGTTTGGTGTTCCGTACATTAGGAGCAGCAATGTTAGAACAGAGAGTGTGAGACAGAAGCAAATTTAGCGATCAAAGGCGAGATATAAACGCTCAACCCAAGAAATTATTGTCCGTTTATGTAAATCTATGCGCTCAGATCAGTTTCACTGCAGACTGATTGGTGGTAAACAATCCCACAGAAATTACGTTTTTAAGAAAAACTGCGATAAAATGCTCACGAACGCAACAGTGACATGGATGAGGCTTTATTCTGTTTTCTATCTGAGAATGTGAGACACAGATGATGGAAAATCAGGAAAACATGAGCAGAAGCAGCTTTTCCACAGCAGGTCCAAACATGTTCGCCTTCATGTTCGCTCAGGTCTGTCTGCTTCCAGGCGGCGCAGGAGAAAATGAAGCTCAGAGCGACACATTCAGCAATAATTGCTGTTTATTATGATATTAATCTGACTGCAGTGGAAAGTAAAGAACAAAACACGTTTTCTGTGTTACATAAAACTCTCTTTTCTAACAGGAATATGTATTAATGGTTCATTAACAATGTTGGCCGCCTTTCTTACAGTTTATTAAATGTACTGATTTTTTTTAATCTCAGCAATTTACTCTGTTGACTTTATTCTCATATTAATATGACTATTCTTGTATTACTTTGACTTTATTGTCATACAACTATATTCCCATAGTGTAATGTCTTTATTCTCATATTATTACAACTTTACTCTTGTGTTATTACAACCTTATTCATATATTATAAAACTATGTTCTCTGAATGGCTTTATTCTTGTATTATTTTGACTTTATTCCTGTAATGTGACTCTATTCAAATGTTATTGCAACTTTATTTTCATATTATGATTTTATTCCCATATTATTACAAATTTGTTCTCGAATTATTTCAAATTTATTCTCGTGTTATTACAACTATGTTTTCATATTGTTAAAACTTTTAATGGCTTTATTTCATATTGTTACAACTTTGTTCTCACATGATGATTTTATTCTCCTATTTTTACAGATTTATTCTATAATATAATGCCTTTATTCTGTTTTATTCAACTTTATTCTCATAATATGACTTCATCCTACTGTCATTACAACTTTATTTCCATATTATTAGGACTATTCTAGTCCTTACAATAGGACTAGAATATTACTTTTTTGTTGTTTTTTTGTTAAAGAACAAAAAATATTGTTCTTTATTGGTACAATAAAGAACCAACTTTATTGTAATAACAAAGTTCTTATTACAACTTTATTTTCAGATTATTAGGACTATTCTAGTGGATCTCAATTCTCATATTATTTCAACTGAAGCCAGATAACATTATGATAAACAATAACAAGTTTAATAAATTTTAAAAATCTTAGCCAGTTGTACAACAGAGAAGTTTTCCATTTAAAGTGATGAAGCATGAAAAAGTTGGCGTTGGACACATTTGAGACCGACAGATTAAAACCCGTTTCTTAGCTCTGCAGCTGCAGTCCTTCATGAGGCAGCAGCTCCTGAGTTTTACCTCCTGAGTCACATCACATTAACGCAACTCCTGTTAAACCCAGAAACTCAACAACAGAGGTGCAGATGGTGAGATTTTCATGACTCAAACCGCCACAAAAACCACTTTAAAGCGTCCATTTAAACTTTCAGGCTGAGTCACAGATGTGTTCAAAAAAACACAAACATATCTAAAATCTTGAGTTAAAGGTAGGCGACGAAGTGGAGTAAACGAGCGGCATGTTTGGTGGGGTGATGAGAAATCAAAGTTTCCAGTTTGAGAAACTTCTGCAGGAATCAGAGAACAAACATTTCACTTCGGAGTGGTTCAACTCTGAAGGAGACAAAAGTAAAACCTTGTTGGTGGGATTAAACAGCTCTTTTTTCCTCCCTCTCGACTTGGAGCAGGGAGCACATTCCTCCACGTCAAGGTCACGACAATAATGGGGGAGGAATGAGAGGAGAGAGGGGCAAGAAAACACCTGGAGAACAGAGCGGGGCAGAAAGTTCCCCCTAACTTTCCTCCTGCCTTTCTCCCTCGTTTTGTTTTGCTCTCCTTTCCTTTCCGTGCTCTTTCTCAGCACAGCTTCCCTCTCATCCTTTCAGGAACCGTCTCCTCCGTGTAAACACCCTCAGCGGTTTTAAAAGACTCAGAAATGACTCAGCAGCGAGGGATTGCAAAAAAACCACACACAGCTCGCATAATCACCGGCTCTCTGGGCCTAAACCCCCGAACAAGACCTGATCCCTCCGCTAATTATACCTCTTAAAGGTACGTTGTAAAAAATAAAACTTCACAGCACGCAAAGCCACGTTTTATTAATCAGATACTCCATACTTTCTTAAAAAAACACAAGAAATGGAGTCGCTGCTAGCATATGCTAGCTTAGCGCTTTAGCTGCCAGGATAAAGTTAGCAACAAGCAACTTCGCTAGCAAAGAAAATAAATCAAAACAAACCGAGGCTATATATTAAAAGAACCAAGTACGCACCCTGCTGCTTCCACTGGCTAATCAAATACACCTATAAAAAATTTAGTTTTGTCAGTTTGAAGCATAAAAACAAAACAAAAGCGACATTTAAAGCTCTGATCAAGATCTGAGGGCTAATTATATAAATTATGACGTAAGAAATAAAACTAGATACACAGCACGCAAAGCCACATTTTATTAATCAGAAATACTCCTTATTTTCTAAAAAAAAATGATACATGGAAACATTGCAAATGTATCCTAGCTTAGCGCTTTAGCTATTTATCACACTAAAGTTAGCAAGAAGCAACTCTGCTACCAAAGCTAAGCCTAAATAAAAGCAACAAAAACAAGACCAAGCTGTTGATTTATAGAAAAAATGTTCTTCATTTTATGAGAACATGAAATGAGGACACAAAATGTGCGTCCACTGGGGTTAAGAGGAGAGAGAGTACTAGCTAAGTGCTGCTAATAAAATCCAACTTGGAAAAAAAAGGAGTTTTGTCAGTTTGAGGCATTAAAAGCTATGCTAAAAGCATTTCTAAATTTGGATTTTGGAATCATGTCACACCAAAATAACCAAAAACAACATTTAAAGCTCTGATCAAGACCTGATCCCTTCGCTAATTATACTTAGTAAAGGTGCTGTTGTAAAAAATAAAGCCACACGGCACAAAAACACATTTCATTAATCAGAAATATTCGTTATTTTTCTAAAAAATTGAGAAATGGAGGCACTGCTAACACGTTAGATATCAGGCTAGCAAGAAGCAACTTCTATAGCAAATAAAGGAAATAAAGACATAACAAAGGAGTTATATTTATATATATATATATATATATATATATATATATATATATATATATATATATATATATATATATATATATATATGTATGTATATATAATATATATATATATGTATGTATTTAAATATAAATATAAAAGGTTTTCTTGATTTTAAATATCCTAACCTGTACAAGGAAGAGTAATAGGTCACCTTTTAGGGGTTAAATACTTTTGAAACCTTCACTATGTTCCATAGCCATGGCATCCATGTTGGATTTTAAACCAGCGAAACTTGGGCGACTTTTCTAACTTAGAATGTAGAAATATTGACGCGTCGGTCGTCCTAAATGCCATCCTGAGTTGAATTTATTTTTAATATTGCAGGTTGTAACTTTAGGTTGCACATGTGTAGCTTGGATGATGAACAAGCTAGTCGGCACAAGCGCCGGTTGTTACCGTCCAACAGCAATTTCCATGCGGAGACAGATGAGGTTATCTTAAAAAGCTCTTATTTGGCTTCTCTTGCTCTCAAGTGGAAACCCAGACATCGGTCAAAGCATTGGAAAGTGAACGCCTTCCTGAATGACTGTCAGAGGGCGAAACGCTTTGAATCCTGCTGCCCCACCCCACAGCCCTGCTCAAGTTCCTAAAAGTACAACACACACACCTCCTGCTGACCTCCTCCGACCTCCCACCCTCGGGGGTTTTAGGGAATCCAGACAAATGAGTGGAAGTGGCAGCAGAGCGTGAAAAGCGAGCTCCAGACAGCAGATCCAACTAATCACCAGCAACATGGACCAACTAGATCCTCTGCAGGCGGAGAAGTTTCTCCTTCACACACAAGCCGTCACTCTTGTCTCTGACAGCTAGCAAGTTAGTGTCAGCGAGGTCGCAGAGCTGCAGAGCTCGTTATGATCATTGGAAAGAAGTCAACTGGAAGAGAAGAAGAGAGGAAGACTGCTGATGTGATGAAGATATGGACCAGAGATGAACATCTGATTGTCCGGTAGATTCAGTTCGATTCTGGACAAGAATTGCAACATTTGCAACCAAACTCTTTTAAAACGCTGTTCCCCTCCTCGCCTGTAGGGGCGCTGCATCAAGAGCGACTGAAGGAAGCAACATGAAAACCTCAGGAGAAGACATGAGCGCAACTCCCTTCTTCACAAAATGTAAACAAAAATGGAGAAGTCAGATTTTTGTGGTAGTTTTATCTTTCGTAAAAGACAACAAGCCATTTCTCCCGCTAGAGCTAGCATGTTTGTCCTAGCTGTATTTACCCAGAATGCTCTGGGTCCACTTCCTGTGTTTGGAGCGTTCTCTGGTCTGCTCAAACGGATGCTCAAACTGAGATGGATGTTTTTAGGATTGACCAAAGTGTTTTTTTGGACCTCATCACAGTTGGATTTCGCATCTCCCCGAACAAACTGGACCTTCTGGACAAACGGCCCAGAGTTGCGTTTACACCAGCCGTTCAGTTTGCTTTAATCTAATTCTAGTTCATTTGCGTAGAAAGTCCGGTTTGTTTAGGGAGGTGTGAATGCACAATCAAAATGTGACGTGGATTTTTAGTTGCCTAAAAATCTCTTTCTTGGTTTGGTGAAGTGAACTTTTATTTTGGTTTGAATGCATCTGTGAATGCAAGTGGACCGGCGACTGCTCCAAAAGAAGGAAGTGGACAACAGTGTAATGCATTCTGGGTAAGTACAAGCAGAACAAATGCAATGCCAAAACTAGCAGCAGAGATGGCTCACGGTCGCTAAAATCTGATGTTTCTCCATTTGTGTTTACGTTTCCTGAAGCAGGAAGTTGCGTTCAGAGTCTTTAGAGGTTTTAGTGTCTTTTCTTTTAGTGGTTCTTGTTGCACAAATATTTATCGATCAATTGCTATTAATCTGATTAATCATTTCACCCCATGTAAAAATTCCTATGCTTCTTTTAGCAAATGAGCTTTTTCTCAGTCTATGTACTGATTGATTAATCAAATACTAAATTAGCTGACAATTATTTCCATAAATGATTAATGGTTACAGCCTTGTGTAAAACGTTCCTCTGGCTTCAGACAGGATGATGTTAGAATCAGAGGAACAAGCAGGACTTTAATTTAAAAAACAGTTCAGACAAATAAACATTTCTGCTCCAACCCGACTTCCCTCCATCCCATCCGAGGAAGCGACCTGCATTCCTCTCTGCAGACGGCAGCTGGTTCTCCGTTACAATGAAGGAAAGTTCACTGTGAAGGCTCTATTTGGCTCTGACACACTGTTCACGTTGAGAGAATAAAAAAATCCTGGCTGTATTTTGCTGCTTCCGTCCGCTCAGAAGATGCATAATTCGACCGAGATCCCAACCCGACAATCATCCCTCCCTTTCGCTCGCGCTCTGTGGCCGGGATTCAAGGCCTCACCTGAATGAGGCACTTGCTGACGTCGCTGGCGCAGAGGGCTTTGTTGCAGCCGGAGGTCAGAGAGAGTCCGGCCAGGAGGAAGAGCAGCGCTGCCGTGGCGGGGAGGATCAGCTGAGCGGACCTCATCCTGACGGTCTCACCGGCGCGACGGGAAAACACCTTGAAGCACAAAGAGCGTCAACAACAACGTTTTTATTCAGGTTTTCATTCCAAAGCAGCAAAAATAACAAAAAAGTCTGAAAATTTACATGAAGTTTGAAGAAATCAAATTTAAAACGGACACAATTAAGTGGATTAACTGGAGTATAAAGACTCAAAAAAAGGCCATTTTGTGGAAATAAACAGGATGTTTTACATACAGCTGAAACAATTAATTGTGATTAATCAATTATTAAAATAACCATCAACTAATTTAGTAATAAATTAACCATTAACTGGACTATTCAGACTTCAAAAATAGGCAATTTGCAAATTTGCTGACAGAACAAGCAAAACTTAAGCCAAAAATGAAATAAAAAGATAAAACGAAATATGTAAATCTATTCTACCCAAAACGCCTTAAGAAGTTATTTTACTGAATTAAGATTTATTGCTGCAACAAAGTGGGCATCAGAAATCCTGGCTGCAGTAGAGAAACAAGAAAACATGATGCAGAACGTTCCCTGCCAAATATTTCACCTTTTAGGCAAAATCTACCAATCAAGGCGCTTCAAGGTGCTTTACATCATAAAAACAGACAAATAAAAACTAACAAAAACATCAAACAGTCACCAGAAAGAAAAAAAGATAAAATGTTGACGAGTGACATCATTGAAATGGTCAATGTGCATCAAATATTTTGGTCAAAGTTCCAGTGATTCCTGTTCAAAAGCAACTCAGAGTTTCAGCTGCTGCACTGTGAGGCAAAGAGGCGGCAGCATCATGCTGTGGGGATGTTTTCCATTTGCAATCATTTGAATAAAACATCTGGAACACCTCCGGTTTAGGTCAAACCGTCTTCACCAGTTAGAATGGCCTAGTCAAAGCTCAACAGAGAATCTGGCTGAGCTTAAATTCACAAAAACAAGTAATTTTTGTTTTTAGATTCTCCAAAACATGAAACTTTAAAAAAAGAAAAGAAAAAAAGAAAGATACACTTTAAAACTTTGCGTTGATTTGTCAGAAAAACCAAAAGTAAATGGATTAAAGTTACATAAAATAATTAGAATCAGGAATCTGAAACACAGCTGGTTTAGGTCAAAACGTCTTCAGGAGTTAGAGTGGTCTAGTCAAAGCATGACAGGCTGAGCGTAAGACCACAAGAACAGATTTGCTTTAAAATTATTTCCTAAATTGCGCTGATTTGTCGCATTAAAGCCAAAGTTAAATGGATTAAAGTTCCAGGTGGAAACTCGTCGCTTTCAATGTGAAAAGCTGGAGCAGCGGAGCTGATTGTCCTGTAAATGTGATGAAATCGCCGCTAAAGAAAAGGCCCGCAGTCTCACCTCATTCTGCGCTCAGTTTTTCCCCCTTTTTAAGGAATAACAATATGCGCAACACATCTGGCAACATCAGCTGCCTGCATCCATTTTCTGACTCGATGCGTGTGTGAGTGTGTGTGTTGCACTTTCACACACACTCCACTCTGCTTTTTTTTTTTTTTATACATCGTCTGCACTTCACATGACGAAGAGAAAACATGTGAGGGACATTAGCTCCCTCATTCCTGAGCGCCTTTCTGCTTTTTCTCCTCTCTCTCTCTCTGTCTCTCTCTTTCTTTTTAAGTTTCTCTCGCATGCAAGCGCAGCAGCAGCAGCAGCGATCAAAAAGGTGTTTAAACTCACCTGAACGCAGTCGATAAGCTCGCAGGTCGGGTTCTTTTTGTAAGAGGCGGAGGTGGTTTTCCCTTTGAACTCCTCCGGGATGGTGATCCGCCGCCGCTCCGGTGTCCACTGTGTCCAGAGGGCGTCAGTCTCTCCGCAGCACAAAGCGGCAGGCAGTCGGGCGCCTTAAAGGCACACGCTCCATTTTCAAAGCGAAGCCTCTGCGGGGAGAAACCACCGGCGCCCGGAGGTCAAACAGATCCCAGATCAGCGCGCCGAGACTCTGATTCAGAGCAGAGCGGATCAACAAGAAGAAGGGCGAAAAGAAACAAACAAACCTAAAAACAAAACGTGCGTAAAAGCGCTGCGTCAAAGCAACACGTGAGCGGGTTGGCTCGGGTTGCGTCATGGATCATCTTCTCCTTTGTCTCCTCTCCTATCGGCGGCGCTTTGGGAGCGCCTCGTCAGGTGAGGAAGCGGATGGGGCGCCCCGTTGCGCGGCTGCAGCTCCACAGGTGTTCAGCTGCAGCTGCAGCGGGAAACTGCAGCTTTAGCCAAAAAAATAAAAAATAACAACACGAATGACAAGAAAAGCACACAAAACACCCCCTGAAGTAAATGTCTTGTCTAAATCGCCAGATGCCATTGATTTAGACAATAAAATAAAATCACTTCTGGAAAAAAATGAGTGATGATCAGAGTAATTGTACTCAAATACGAACAGCCACTACTTTAATAAACTTACTCGAGTAAGAGTATTAAAGTATTTAAGATATATATATATAGATATATATGTACACATACATGTCCTCCATCAGCTATTTCCATTATTGTCTGCAGTGCCCCCTCCTGGCAGACGAGAGTACTGCATCCACACAATAATAAATATAAATAAATAATAATAGTTATTATTATTATAATGCAGGTGGATAAACTTTAAAAAAAATCATCCAACACAGATATAATTTCACAACAAATAAAATTTATTCAATTATATATTACAAATATGTACAAGTCATGTAACAAGTAAATATTAAAATAGACATTTTTTTTAGAACTATCGTTCAAAAGGCATTATGTTGAAAAAATAGGATTTGTTGTGATCTTACGTCGAAACTGTAAAAGTGTTTTTTTTCTTCTTCTTTTTTTTCTTGGAAGCCACAACAGACTTCGATGTGCGCGAGACACAATGTGGACGACACGGGAGGACGCTCTGAGGCCGCCAGAAGAAAGAGACACGATGTTGGGGTGGAAAATAAAAACAGAAAGACTAGAGAGAGAGAGAGACAGAGAGAGAGAGAGACAGAAAGAGAGAGACAGAGAGAGAGAGCTTGAACACTTCAGTTAAAACCTCACAAATTTAAAGTCCACGGTACTTTAAGATAAAGAACATCGCAATGCATGCACAGCATTAAAACCGCCAAAGTCGAGGAAACACCAGCTGTGGCGTAAAGCTCCAGATGTGGAAGGAAGGAAGGAAGAAACGTTGGAAAAAAAAAAAGAAAAGAAAAGAACAACAACAACAAACGACGAGAACATCACAGACGAAGACCGGATAAAAAAACAAAACGACTTTGGTCCAATAAAACATCAGACGGAACGAGTTTACAATCAAAATATCTATTTTACTTTTTGTTTTTTTTACAGTTTAAAACAATAATTACATGACTATGTACAAATGCACATTTTCTTTTTTTATGTATAAAATAAGTTAAAAAAATTAAGAGCACAGTCTGTACACAACGTATGAACACTTTGAAAACATTTGAAATCTTCACGGCCCGGTTCTGGTAAGAAAAACGAAACAAAAGGGAACCCGGCTGTAAGTGCTGCTCCGCGGCGCCGTGGCGCCTCAGATGGGGGTCAGGTCGAAGTCGTCGTTGACCTCCACCAGCGGGATGTAGAACTCGGGGATCTCGAAGATGCTGGTGGACTTGTAGGTGGCCGGGTCCAGTTCCTGCAGCTTCAGCTGCCACTCCAGGCGCTGGACGGCGTTGAGCGCCGCCGCCTCGTGCTGCTGCCGCATCAGCAGGCACGTCTGGGGGCACAGGACCGACCGGGTCAGAACCCAACGGGTCAGGACCAAACGGGTCAGGACCAAACGGGTCAGAACCAAACGGGTCAGAACCAAACGGGTCAGGACCAAACAGGTAAGGACCAAACATCAGGACCAAACGGGTCAGAACCAAACATCAGGACCAAACGGGTCAGAACCAAACATCAGGACCAAACGGGTCAGAACCAAACATTAGGACCAAACGGGTCAGAACCAAACATCAGGACCAAACGGGTCAGAACCAAACATCAGGACCAAATGGGTCAGAACCAAACGGGTCAGGACCAAACGGGTCAGAACCAAACGGGTCAGGACCAAACAGGTAAGGACCAAACATCAGGACCAAACGGGTCAGAACCAAACATCAGGACCAAACGGGTCAGAACCAAACATCAGGACCAAACGGGTCAGAACCAAACATTAGGACCAAACGGGTCAGAACCAAATGGGTCAGACCAAACATCAGGACCAAACGGGTCAGAACCAAACATCAGGACCAAACGGGTCAGAACCAAACATTAGGACCAAACGGGTCAGAACCAAATGGGTCAGAACCAAACATTAGGACCAAACGGGTCAGAACCAAACATCAGGACCAAACGGGTCAGAACCAAACATCAGGACCAAACGGGTCAGAACCAAACATTAGGACCAAACGGATCAGAACCAAACATCAGGATCTCCACTCAACCTTTGACCCTAAACTGATTGTTAAGGGCTACAAACTGCAGCAAACTGCTTCTCCTCTAAAATGAATTAAATTTAAACTTTAGGATTCAAAGTGAAAATCAATCAGGACTATTGATACGTGATTATATATAATTTATTGGAAATTTACAAGAAAAAATCTGAAACCTTTGAGATAAAAGAAAAAAGAGAAAGAAAAACAAATCAAGGAAATATGTCAACTTCCTTCAGTCTGACCTTTGACCTTTCAGTTTTAATTATTCAGTGAACAACATGAATCCTCCAGCCTCTTATTGATCCCTGATCAGTAAAAACCTTCATCAATCACCCTCTTCTTCCTCTGACAAACATCCAAAATACAAACCAGATCCATGAGCTTTTATTTTGAAAGTCTGACCTTGAGCTTGTCGAATTTGTCGTCGACGTCCTGCAGCCAGGACATGAACTGCCGGGCGTTGAACCGATCCCTCACCGACGTTTTCCCGTCGTCGCCCTGGCAACAAAAACCCGACAGGTCAAAACCCAGAGCAGCAGGTCAGAGGTCAGAGGTCAGAGCGAGGCTCACCTGGATGTCCTGGGGCATGTTGTACACCTCGGCGTCCAGCAGGACGGTGCAGGCGCTGAACGGCAGCGTCTGGTTGGCTAGTGTTCTGGCGGCCCGGTAGTGGACCCGCAGCACTTCCTGCTCGTTGGAAACGATCAGCTTCTCCTGAAAGGAGGGGGGTCAGAGGTCAGCTGGAGGTCGTCAGGTCAACGTGACATTAATAAAGATAAAAAACGTACGCGCTCGATGCTGTGCTGCAGTCGCAGCTTCATCCGGACGACTTCCTGCTGCTTGAACATTTCCTTCAGCGGCTCAGGAAGCGAAGGGGGCGGAGTTATCTGGAAAATACGAATATTAATTATTAAAGACGGTTAGAGAAAAAACTGATCAATTATTCAGTTCAATGCGAAGGAGAAACACGAGGAACAAGAAAGAGGAAGGAAAAAGCTGCATGATTATAAAATAAAAATAAAAACAAACATGATGCTGCCACCACCGTGCCTCAGAGTCAGACAAATAAAAGACGGATTGACTCCAATTAGTGGCTCTGGATTTTAAATATTAGAGCACAGAGTGATAAAATGCACACCGCACTTTTCAGATTTTGATAAAGAAGCAAGAAAGGAAAGAAAGAAGGAAAAGAGGACAGAATGAAGGGAGGGAATAAAGAAAGGAATGTCAGATGTCAGCGAGTCCTACGGTGCATGTTATGGTTCTGTGTGATCCGGTCGGACTCACGGTGGGGATGCAGAGTTTGCTGAGCGGGTTCCCGTCCAGCAGGTACGACCCGTTGAACGTCACGTACTCGTCGTAGTACTGCGGCGGCTGCGGCGTCACGTTGCACAGCACCTTGCGCTTCTCCTCGATCTTCCTGCGGATGTGCAGGAACTCGTAGTACGGGTTGGCCCGCTCCGTCTGGTACGGCTCAATCTCCTCCAGCTTCACCGCGTCCACGATGGCCGCCAGCGACTGCTGGCACCTCTCTCTCTCCTGCTGGGTGGCCGAGCTCAGCGGCGACGCCGCCGGCTTCGGCATCTTCCTCTTGCGTGGGTGCGGGACGTGGACGTCGGCGTCTTCGTCCGCCGCCCGGGTTTTCAGCTTCGCTCCGGAGGAGTCCGAGTCTCGGTCGGCGGACTGCGGCGAGCAGCTGCCCGAGGCGCTGCCGCTGTCTGTCTGCGGCGCCGACTGGACCGACCTCGGGCTCTGCTCTTCGGCCGTCGATGTCTCCGTCTTTTCGTCCGCCGGCATGGCGTCCATCGGCTCGGGCGGCGTCTCCGCGTTAGCATCGGCCGCGCTTCCGTCCAGGGGAGAGCTCTCTGCTGCGACGCTGCTCTCTAAGCCCTGATGAGCGTCGCTTGACTCCTCTCGGGGGTCATGGGTCACGGAGGACGCCGCGTCCTCCATCTGGACATCAGGACAAGTGGAAGGAACGTTGTCAGTGGAAGGCTGAGAATTGTCTGCATCGTCTGTGGACGCGTCGTCGTCGTCTTCTTCTGCTGGAGCAGAACTGGGAATGTGCAAACTGGTTTCTGGTGGAGGACTGCGCGGTGCGTCCGGCGCCGTTGGGTTGTCAGAACCGGCGGCCATGTTCTCCTGAGGAGGGTTCTCCGGTTGGAGGTCGGACGGCTGCTGGGTCTCGGTGCTGGAAGACGGCGGCGTCTCTCTTTGATGGAAGGTCGCTGCGTCCGCGAGCGCCGACGGCTCGCCGGACGTCAGCGGCTGATCCGATTCTCCACCACTTTCTCCCTGTCGCAAAAATCACAAGCCAAGTTAGAATTAGCATTTCCAGTTATCAATTTTATCCTTTCTCTCTTTTTCTACCAAAAACTGGATGATAAAGTCTCCAGTCTGGTGCTTTGGTCTCAACTCACTCCTGTTTTTAAATCTAATTTTACAGGGGGAATTCTGAAACAGGGGTTTATAAGCCTGGCGGGCCTCCAGGCTAAACATCTTTTGTCTTTGTATTTTAGGTTTTTCACACTTCTGGGGAAAAAAAATCAGAAGTGTAGTTGACAGCCATCTTGTCAGAACCAAACGTCAGTTTGGTAATAATCTGATAATAATAATAACCAACTGTCATGACAGTTGCTCTGCTCTTGCCTACCAAGATGGCGGTTCAGTGGCATGGATCACTTCTGGTTCAGACTTGTGGGACGTGATGTATGCCTTTTCTTGAGACTTA